GCCTTCGGCTCGCCAAACATGGCCGACGTCGGCGCTTATGTCATAAAGCAGTATCGCGTGTATCTGACGGGGGAGGCTCGTCATCATCATAAATAACTTCAGCCCTATTGACATCATCGAGATAAATCTGACCTTGCGGCACCAACTCGTGCTTGCGAAATACTAAGGAGCTCTATAGTGGCCTTGACCACCGCCTAATCTATATGATCTCCTTGCCATGGTGGCCGCACGTGATGCCAATCCGAGTGTGAATCCATTTAGGAGTAAGCATATGCAGGCGAGTGTCATCGCATCAGATGTTCATGTCATTTGAATTACTGGCCGTGGCATCTGTAGCACCCTATTCTGTGTCCCCCAATATTACCCGCATCTTCCGCGACCACGGGCCTCCGGTGGTCGACTTGTACACTGCACAAACATCGTACCTGCCAGTCACCGCAGTAGTCTTGCAGAGAAAACGTCGAGGATGCGGTACCTGGGAAGTTGCAGGCGGAGGCCCCTCGCCTTCTGTCAAGGCTGAGAGTAAAAGCTAGGATAGGATTTGTTTGTGTCAATTATATCCTATTGCTACATATCTAGTATGTATACATATATATATATATATATATATTATATATATATATATATATGCATATATTGTGTCATTGTTAAAAGTGCACACATCACCGCCAAGTGTATACAAACCCAGCTAAGTGTTGGTGAGACCGCCATAGTGGCAGACGGGTGAAAAATGAAAGCCTTTTACAATCATGTAAGACTAAGCACATAATTTATGAACATGCCTCGGTGGCATAGGATAACAAACTTTGTTTCCAACAAGTACGGCAAATTTTGCGTACGCTTCATGAGTTAGCTTGCATGCATGAATGTTTTGTGGTGTGTGTGCAGCTATTCCACTGTTCCTAACCAGCAACGTAAGTAATCTGACATAGAGCGAATTCATTATTTTGACTGTTACGCAAATGTAAAGCGATGTGTATCCTTCCTCCTAGATTTTGCGAGCCGATACAACAATAACGGATCACACGTGTAACAATAACGGCCTGTGCTACGTGACATCCCGTGAGTGCTACGTGACAGTGACGTCATTTGTGCTTTTCCCCTGTTAACCATGCGATCTCCTTCCATCAGTGGACTGCTCTATTTTGCTGTATGGCCTCGTTTGAGTATCTTACCCTCGCAATGACGCGCTACGTATTGTTCAAAGGAAGGAAGGGGAATGCAGTGCGGGGAAGTACGTCAACCCACTTATCTCGCCGTTGTGGAACAGGAAAACAAAATGTTAAAGAGTTTCTTCCGGATTTAATCCGTTTGCCACCTGGCACGAAATAACCCAGTTTGGTTGGGAAACAGCTCAGCAGGCAGCTGGGAAGACGACTGGCTTTAATTGGATACCCAAGTGTGAGGTAAGTTCATGACGGTGGTCAACGGCCATCGGCGCCTGGCAAAGCACGACGAAACTGTGACCTATCAGCCTGCCGTTTATCGAGGGCCCAGGAGTGGTCTACGTTCTACAGGTCGATGGCGAGATAAGATAAATGAAGCTTTTGCACTATGCTTGACCTCCAAAAGTTGCACTTAAAAGATTGTAAATGTACCGCTCCTGCATGCACAGCCTGAGTGACCAAATCGCGACATCTACTTACAGAGTCTACGCTGGGTGACTGATGAACGTCAGAAACACGAATTTTTCGTCAAGCATTCCCAATGAACCTGTGGTCAAGCTTCTGCCCATGACAATGTTTCCGGTGTCCGAATATATGAGAACATTTTTAAAATGCATTTTTTTAGTTCATTCAGAAGGCATGTGAGCGTTAATGAGTTTTGTTTTGTTTGTTTAAGATTCGGTCCAAACTTCTTAATTGAAGGATTTCTAAGATCATCGCCCACTCTGGCCAATGCTTGCTGCATGAACCCGGATCCCACTATTCGATCGTGTTGTTTCGGGTCAACGGCGCAGTTTTGCGGCAAGAGTTGAACGTGCCACAACGCCCGGCACAGCCATTCCCGTCTTCTCACGTCCCCTCGCCGTTAGCGATGGGCGCTGTCACCGGCTGCGGGCCATACCACTCATGGGCATAAAGCGAGCACCCAACGCGGCCCGAACCCACCTCGCCACGGCTGGGTGAATCGGAAGGTAGTCGTTCTAACCAGCTTAGCTACCTGGACGGAATATCTCATTTAGTTTTTTTTTAATTTCGCCCTTAAAGCACCCCCTTGTGGTCTTGACGCAACCGCGCATTCGCAACGTCGTGACTGCGAACGAAAAACATATATCATCTTCGTCGTGCCAGAGCACATTGGATGGCCACACGCCCAATGACGGCGGCTCTTGCAGGATTTGTCGTGATACGGCATATTGGATGGCCACACGCCCAACAACGGCGGCTTCTGCAGGATAGAGTAGCACAGTATACAACAAACGCAAGCTCACGGTCCTTGTCATATGCCTTTATGTCACAGACACGACATGGGCGTGCTGGTACAAGTGCGTCATCATATACTGTCTTCATCGGTAGCTATGTAACATGTGTTTCGGTTCATTGCCCCTACGCTCCGAGTGTACTGGTCTACATGGCGCGACCAGTGCGCGCCTCGTCGGTGGCAGGGTCTGCGCCGCGCCTCGAAGACAACAACCGGACAGACATGCTCAGACTCAAGCCAACAGTAGGCTTGACGCCTTCCTCCGCGGTCAGACGAACGCCACTCTCTCCCAAAATAAAAACAGCATGCGTCGATTCGCATGATGAGTGATGCAGTGTCACAGTGTGCAACGAGGAGCGACACGTCACGTGTTGCTGCCGTGGGCAGGCAGGCTACCGGCGGCTGCGAGCTCGGACTCACACAGCCGCTGCTGGCGACCGTGGCCGCGCCGCCCCCGGCGACCGCGGTCACAGCCTCGCCGATGACAGGCGACGGGCGACGAGCGGGCATTGCCGCCGTCCTCACGTGGCATCAGACTTAGCACGCCCCCAACATGGCGCTAGCGTCGGCACTCATCCCCAGCGCTGCCCGCCAGGCCGTCTTTTACAGCACTCGTGCGTGCGTTGGGCCGAGCTGCATCGATGACGCCTTGTCTGTGTGGACTCTTCATCTTGCGACATTGACGATGAGTAGACTAGAAAACGATGCCCCATTTCACACCTGCAATCGACAGTGGACAAAGCGTGTATCAGAACGTCTCTATCCCTCGATCATCGCCGTGGGCAAATCAAGCTACCTCTCGGGGCCTAACTGCAAGGCAGGAGACTTGTCCAATAAGGGAATCAAATGCTGTCGAGCTATGCCCTCGATCAAACCACGCCAAGTCATATTACATTTTACAATATGATGCGGTTAGGAAATGGCATACCGGTTGGCACCTACGGCTCCCATCTGAACCTCACCGCTACCGCTCCTCGTGCCTGTGCGGCAATTCCAGTCCGACTCACCGTCGTGAGTCTTGAGCGGTTTCTGTACCAGAGAGCCACTGAAATCAGCATCATGACAATGCCGACCGAGATGAGCACCCACTGGGCGGCCTTCAGCAGCTTCAGCGGCAGCTTCAGCTGGTGATCGAAGTCGTCGGCGCCCTTCTGGTCGATCGTGGCAGTCTAGTGCAAGGACGGAACAGGGTCACGCGAGGGCGTGGGATTTCTGGTCGCCAGAAGACGTGGAGCAGCGCCCCCCCCCCCCCCCAGTCGTTCTCTTTAACACCGATAGCGCATCTCCGAATCCAAGGGGCGAAATGTTAAAGCTCGGTGTGTGGCGCTTGTGCACAGCCCGTAGGCCAGGGGGCACGCTAACGCTGAAATGATGCACAGCACCTTCGCGTTTAGTACTGAATGTTTTTCACTCGCGTTCCGGCTGATTGTCAGTGAAGTCGCGTCCCGGCTGCTTGTCAGTGAATCCTCGACCCGGCTGATCGTCAGTGACCCCGCGTCCCGACTGACTCTCAGTGACCCCGCGTCCCGGCTGATTGTCAGTGAACCCCGTGTGCGTCCCGGCTGATTGTCAGTGAACTCGTGTCCCGGCTGATCGTCAGTGAACCCTTGCCTCTGCTGATCATCAGTGACCCCGCGTCCCGGCTGATCGTCAGTGACCCCGCGATCCCGGCTGATTATCTCTGACCCCGCGTGCGTCCCCGCTGATTGTCAGTGAACTCGTGTCCCGGCTGATTGGGCAGTCTGCAGACCTGCTCACCTCATTCGTGTAAATGAGCGGGAACAGGATCTCCGGTATATGTTCCAAACCGTGCACTTTTGGGGTATTGCTTCAACTGCAGATTGATCTGGATCTTCTTGCCACCGTTCAAGGCCAATCCAGTCATCTGAAACGAATTTTGCACGGTACGTGTCCGCCATTCAGTGACACCACGCGTCCTCCGCACGCACAAACTCTGCACGACTATGACAGCAGAGGACAAAAACGTGACGTCACACGAAGAAGCAGTCGGTTGCCGGCGGCGTCGTGTATGAACGTTGGTCGGCCGAGCGTGCCGTGGTTCGCTGCTGGTTGATTAGCGTGCTCGCTCCACTGCTCAAGCGTTGCCAACAGCACAAGCACGTTCGAGCATGTGAGCAAAACATTGGGCTGGGCGATAGCGACTTTGACATAACAACGACATGCTAAATTTACTAGTTCTGAGTCATTTTTCATTCATTCATTTTTGTTCAGCAGTTCAAAGGTTCATTTTCGGGCAGCGGGTCGTGCAATTCCCTTCCCCTGGTGACAAGGCTCCCAGGATTACCAAATGCTATTGCAATAAGTGCCTTTTATGGAACATTTCTTGCGTTCCGGCTTTCTTCAACGCCATCCAACGCGTCTTAAGTATATTTGCTGGGAAGGAACATTTAAACACCGCTCTGGAGACCTGTGTTTGCAACCTCGTAGGGAGCCTCCCTCGGCGACCAGTGCTACGATCGTCGATATATTTGACATACTTGACATCCGCGACCGCCTCTCGCAGCCGACGGAAATCCCGCTCTGCAGCCGGTAGGAGGTCGCCTCCTTAGCCCTCTCCGGGCTTACCGCCTTTTGAACGTGTGGTTCTGGTTATCCGACTGTGCCGTGGGTTTAACGTGCAACGCCCCCCCCCCCCCCGTGCCCAGACGTGGTCGCGATGAACTGCCAAGGGGCGACCGTGCCCCGCGGCCACTGCAACCGTCAAGTGGCCTTTAACACGATTAGCGCCTGAGTGATTAGCGGGCTGCCGTATCAGCGAGGGGAGTAGCCGCAGCGGTCGGATGGCGAGCACACCACAGCGGTCGGCTGGCAGGCATACCACAGTGGTCAGCTGACGAGCACACCACAGCGGTCGGCTGGCGAGCACACCACAGCGATCGGCTGGCAAGCACACCACAGCGGTCAGCCGGAGAGCACACCACAGAGGTCAGCTGACGAGCACACCACAGCGGTCGGCTGGCAAGCACACCACAGCGGTCAGCCGGAGAGCACGTCACAGCGGTCAGCTGACGAGCACACCATAGCGGTCAGCTGACGAGCACACCACAGCGGTCGGCTGGCCAGCACACCACAGCGGTCAGCTGGCGAGCACATCACAGCGGTCGGCTAGCGAGCACACCACAGCGGTCAGCTGACGAGCACACCACAGCGGTCGGCTGGCCAGCACACCACAGCGGTCAGCTGGCGAGCACATCACAGCGGTCGGCTAGCGAGCACACCACAGCGGTCAGCCGGCGAGCACACCACAGCGGTCAGCCAGCGAGCACACCACAGCGGTCAGCCGGCGAGCACACCACAGCGGACAGCCGGCGAGCACACCGCAGCGGTCAGCTGGCGCCGGACGTAACGGGCGGGACGATGCGACGTCCCTACGGTGCCCTGTCAACGGTGGCTTTATGCCCTAAGAAATCAACCACGCCTCTTCTGATGTTACCCGGCTGATAATGGTGCGAATGTTTGATAGACCCGTGCTACTGGCATAGAGGTACACTCGCTGTTGTGCACATGCATTGCGATAACTTGTGTATCTACATCACGTGCAGTAGCAAGTCTCCGACCTGATGATGTTTACTTGTCACGGGCGATTTGACTTCAAGGATTATGTCCACTTATGAGAATCGTACTGATCCGTAATGCACACATACATAACAATATAATGTTATAAATGCATGTATATATATATATATATATATATATATATATATATATATATATATATATATATATATATATATATATATATATATATATAATAGATAAATTATATATCTCTCTCTCTCTCTCTCTCTCTCTCTCTCTCTCTCTCTCTCTCCTCTCTCTCTCTCTCTCTCTCTCTCTCTCTCTCTCTCTCTCTCTCTCTCTCTCTCTCTCTCTCTCTCTCTCTCTCTCTCTCTCTCTCTCTCTCTCTCTCTCCTCTCTCTCTCTCTCTCTCTCGCTCTCTCTCCTCTCCTCTCTCTCCTCTCTCTTCTCTCTCTCTCTCTCTCTCTCTTTTTCCAAGAATCCCCAGAGAAAGGACATCACACCCACTCACGGGCTCGATGTCGATGAATGTCTCGTGTCGGACTTTGTCCGGAGACATTCCGATGACTGCATCAACATATGACTGGTCTCCGTTGTAGAAATGTGGGGTGGAGGCTACGATCGGTGCACCTGGCCGAAAAGGAGACACAGGGCTGGGGAGAGTCTCCAATGGCCGAGACGGAGACACAGGGCTGGGGTGAGTCTCCAGCAGCCGAAACGAAGAGACAGAACTGAGGTGAGTCACCAATGTCACAGCGATTGCATCACCTCGAAATATCCGCGCAGCCAATAATTGCGTGCCACACCTCGATACATCTCCATAAAAAGACGACGATGAGCCAAATAGGTCCGCTCCTTCTCATTGGAGACATGCTCTGTTGCAGCTTCAATGGGCAGCCACCGATCGCTTCAGCATCCGACTTACCGTACTGGCAAGGACTGAGCGACAAGACTCCCGCCTTCAGACAATTGCCAGCGGGGATGCAGAAGCACTGGTTGTCCTTGTTGACAGCCGGGTCCTCCAGCACCTCACGGGGCGGCACAAACCGGCGACCGGTGATGCCGAAGTACTCGACGTCCTTTTCATAATCCAGATAAATCGACCTAGCGGGCGATAAGGTGGGCGGGAGAGGGAGGGGAGGGGGTTAGCCCGCTGGGAGCTGTGCCGGGCCAGTCGGAACTCGCCGTTTGAAGGAAGGGTTCCACCTTTGGGGTCAGTCTTATAACAGTGCCACTGCAGCGCTGTCAGTACATAATTAGGGCATCAATTTTAATTAACTTCGAGTCCAAATTACACATAAATATATATTACTACACTATACACCTTGTAACAGCGCTACCCTTCCTTCCTGCAGTCGCGACCACCGTCGTCATCACAACTACAATTCGCACCTTTACTGGCGCGAAAAAAGAACGTTTGTGATTGGTCCAGTGAGCAAGGGCTTGTTAGCGAGGAGCACATTGGTTGAAGTCTGAACCAGTGCGTCACGTAGATCATGTGATGCTCCCATTATCACTGCCAGTGTGCCTCGAAGAGAGCCACTGTGTTGAACGCATAGGAGGGAAAATCATAGCCATAGTATAACGTTTCGTTGAATTCACGGGATAATAACCTCATATTTGCACATTGTCTCTTAGAAGTGTTTCCAGCTTCGTAGCATTTGTTACAGAAACCTTTTGACATCTTAGTAAGCGGCAAACACTACATAATACACCACGTTGGAAAAGCAGGGCAAGCAAAATTTATTACCTCCATAGTGGTGGGCAGGGAGTCAAATAAGATTTTTCCCGCATGGTCGGCTATTTCAGATAGAAATCCTGAGCTAATCAGGATTTCCAGAAAGCTGGTTTTGCTGATTAAAGCGAACGCGTCTGATTAACGAGTGAACGTACACAAAACGTGGGTTACTTACTCCCTTTAAAGGGAGTATCCCACCTTTTTGTCAGGATACCATTGAAAGGGAGTGTTCCGACCGCACCCTATAACGGAGTATAAATTACAGCCTCCAGCATAAGCTGATGTTCTTCAGGCTGAATTATCGACCGATTTACCAAAGAGGACACGATTGCAAACTGCTTCTCACTTCTACTTAACGTAAATCCCACTCATGGCCCATCAATAAACACCTGCTGATGTTGTGAAACGGATACGAATAGGTTGCCCAGGCCATGGGCGTAAGAACAGGAAAGACGCACGGCCTGGAGACTGCAACGCCGGGCGTCGAGACTTATTGCTATGACTTGCGAGCACGCATGTTCAACACCACATTACGTACTTTTCTTATCAGTAATCAGCTCTGACATGATCTTGAGCATTATAAGGCGAACATGGGCTAGCCATGTTAATACAAATTATGAACCCCATTTCATCTGCAATCTACAGACAGGGAGAACTCAATATCTCTGAAGAAGACAGAAAAACATGGAACTGGAGTCTTTGTGAAAACAATCAAAATGCCTGCGGTGATCAGGGATGCTGTTGCGTCAATTAGGGTCCCTGTGCTGATCCGGGGCTAACTACGCGGATCAGAAGGCCTCCTGTGTCAGGGATGGGAACAATGTGATATGATATATCCCTCTAATGACCTCTAGATCGACCGGGAGATCCCGCCCCATGCCACTAGAATGATAGCCAGAGGACACTTCGCGATGGGAAGGAATGGTCCTTCAGCCTTTCACCGGAAACGGTTATGTAACCCTGGTGTTCTACTCCAGAGATCCCTTGCCCGGAAGTGAATAAGGGGTCTCATTATTGTTGAGTAGAGTGGGGCTCTCATTATTGTTGAAAAGCACGGGTCGAAATGAATTAAGAAAACGAGCAGTCATGCCATGTTTGCCGGAGAACGTTCATTTTATTTTAGAATATATTACTGAAGCAAATTACACCAAAAGCCTTGAACATGCCCGCCGCAACATCGAGAGCAAGGACAAGGATGGTCCGGGTTGCAGCTTCCGTAAAACCAATAAGTTTCGGCCACTGCAAGTGCCGCCAGACGGCGGGCGCCGTGTTAATCTGTCTTCTGGACAGAAAAATAGCTGCGGAAACACGAAACATAGAGATTTTACCTTCACTCTTCCAGTTCATCCACCAGATTCTAGCCCTCTTTGCAGTGTTTTAGGGGTCAATCCGTTCTTTTCATCAATCTAAAATTTGCACGCGTGAAACATGCCCTCAGACTGCCTCCCAAATACAAGATCTGACGTCATGAAGCGTCCAAGGATACTTTCTCAGAAGCGTCATAATTTTCGTCCACTGACGGGCCACGGCTAAATGTTAGCTACTGGGTTAACGCTCCGCGGACTATGGAGACTGCAACGCCTGGTGTCGAGGTTTTTGCTGCTAAAATTTGCGAGCGAGCATGTTGCAAAAATACGTTGCATGAATTGCATCACCAATCGATTCTGGCTGAATGGTGAACATTTTCAGACAAACATGGCTTGGCCATGTTAATACACAATGTTGACCGCTCGATTTGCAATCAAATTTTCGTCTTCAAATTTGGATCAAACAAATCGATCTACAATCTGCCTTCGCGATGTCCTCTATGTCTGTGGAACCCAGATAAAAAATTGACAGAGCTTCTGAATTCTATCGGTGTAGAAAGAGTCAGCTAACCATTGTAAATTAAGAGCGCCGGTGATTTCTTCCATGCAGTCGTTCAACGCCTGATATCTGCAGCTTATTGATCTCAAAATGCAAACAGAATAGAGCTCGCGGTAGCTTCTGGTTTCTGTTCTGGTTACAAGGTAAAAAATAAAACGACGAAAACTATGCCACTCGTTAACAAGTAAGCCATATCCGGGGATTGGGGGGGCGTGGGCACCATAAGATGGGCTTTTGTCAACCCTGTGTTCCCTCTTGGTAAGGCTCTGGCTACGTCCCTGCCTTCACACAAAAGCAGATCAAGTTGCGTGCGTTGCATGATGGACAATGAAGTGTCCGTTGGGCCCATCCATACCTAAGGCAGGCAGCTTCCCGGAGGCTATTTTTCTGCGATGTTGTGGCATACGGGAAGATAATTCGGGAAAAATATTGTTGCAGGTGTCCAACACATGTTTCATACACCATGTAGAAGAGATGCTGATCCAAAAATATGCGGCAAAGTAGCCACACGATCAGCTCGCAGTCAGTCATGCGGGAGACATCCAGGCCAGGGCAGTGACCACCGACGGCAGACAGGAGCAGGGCCCAGATAAGGAACATATGACAGATGGGCCTTATTATGTGGCTTGATTCTTAAAAGAAAATCTCCAATTTTATGGATTTTGTAACATTGTTTCTAGCAATTTCAAGCTCCCGACTTTGTTTCCGCTTTAAATGCTGCGACAAGTCTAATTTCTTGAAAAGCAGACAGCGAAATGAAGGCGCACAAAAAACCTGGCGCACTGCGAGCCATCGATCCACTTTCAAAATTATCACCGGCCTATATCTATGCCGTATTTTGGCATCTACACTGTGGAGGCAAACGCTTCCTTAATGACCCAAAATACCTACCCGCTCGTGGAATTTCGTCCCCCCAGGAAAGACAATGCTAAAATGGACGAATGATCTAGGGGAGCTGGATAGCCTTATTTCACAAATGACAGATGAGTCGAGTAGGCAAGATTGTGCACCAGTGATAAGCAGCTCTAGATGCATCATACATCATAGCATAGCGGCTATGACATTTGAATAAAGAGCGATGACAATCTCCATCTCTACTCCCCCCCCCCCCCCCGCCACCCGGTCATCGGGCCCGCTCTCCAGAAAAAGTTCCTGAAGTACACCCTGAGCTTGCCGCCCCCCACAACTTTTTGAGACGTTCCTACGCCTATGGCCCAGGCTACCGCAAACGGATTATAACGCAATGCAAATCGTGAGACAACAGACACCATTCCCACATTGGATTTCATTTGGGATGCCGTAGTGTCCCGTCATGTGTGGTAAGAGCTGCGTTTTGTTGTCCCACTCACACTTCGCACGTGGACATAAGGAAACCACACACACAAGCAAGCACACCCATACACTTCCCCCGCACGCACTCAAATAGACTCGCCAGGTTGCATAATGGCTGCAACACTCTCACCCACCTGCACAGATCCTTGTTGAAGATGAAGACTCTCTGGACGTCGTCCGTGTGAGGGGGGTAGGTGATGCCGTCGGTGCCGTTGATCTCGTTGCAGTATGGGGTACCCCAGTAGCTTAACTTGGGGCTGTTTTGGTATGACTGGATGTAGGTGAAGTGGTTGATGTCATTTTTGCCGGTGAGTACTGTGTACGGGCCGTCTATGGTGTTGTTGAACTGGAATCAGGCGGTCGGCGAAAGTTAGAAGAGTTCTTTGCCTAGTCTTCTTTGGTGGGTTTCCGCTAGCGGACATACCTGAGGATCGCGTACGCATAAACACGGGCGCTCTCGGAAAACACGGGCCTGTCGAATTGAGCCATAGCTTTGCAATTGAGCCATAACTTTGCTTAACAGGCAAGCAATTGAGCCATAACTTTGATTAACTTGACGCGGGGACCGTACAAAAGTCCTTGATCCCTTTCACTCTGAGGTTTATTTCACCGAGGTGGGAAAACACGTGCATTTCATGACGATTTTCAGAACGCCTGTCGAATCATTTCTGCTAGCCTTGTATATTGTATAGGCCATTACTCCAGTGGATATTGGATGCGCCCTAAATCTGAATATATTACTTCGTTACACATATCACTGACTTTTTCAGCGCTCACTAATACCCTAGCAGTCCAAAACGCTATTGGATGCAGCACTTCGTGCAATGCGTTCTAGTGTGAATAGTGGCAGCTGCTGTTGGCTTTGAGTCCTTACAGTCCGCTCGACACGGAAACGAAAGTTTGACATTTTGCAACAAGTAGTGATAGCTTAGCGATCTGGTTTGCAAAAAATCGACCGATGGTTTTGATTGTTTGGTCATGCACGTCCCAGAAACATAACCGGCTAGCTTTATTCAGATTTAGGCCAGACAGGCCAGCTATATGCACACCGAAGGGTTGCTATGGCCACGGAACCAAGTTGATTTCTAAGTCCTCGCTTTTGGTAATACGCACTCCATTAAATAAATGCAATTTGTCGCTTTCACACCTCCCGACAGCGTTACTACCAACTGAAAGCTCAATTTAGGCCAGAAGGATACCGTAACCCGATGAGCTGACCCCCGTTGAAATAAAAAGGTTTAGGGAGGGAAGCAGGACTCTGCATGCCGTTGTTTGCCATCCCACTGCGCCGAGGCGCCCGCCAATCACTTACCGCGTAGAGCCTGAACAATCCATCACTGTAGCTGGGCGGCAGGAGCTGGGGTAAAGCTGACGCCACGAAGGCGAACAGCGGGTCGTCCACGCCTGACATCAGCAGCTCGCCTGCCTTGTACGCCATGAAGCTCTGGCCTCGCTCCTTGGAATTGATGATGTTGTACAACAAATTCCGAAGCGCCGGGGGCTGAGAATCGCCCATCGTAGCCACGACCTGCCGGACGGCGGCGCGACGGTCACAGGTGCAGGCAGGGGACATCGGCGCCGGCGCCTCCGCGGATCGGTGAGCGCCAGCGCTCGCGGACGGTGACGGAGCCGGTCCGTGCGGCACCTCCGTTCAGCTGAACGAGGTAGACTCGCTGCGAATGTTTCTTCTGTCCAAGTGTTGAAAGTAGTGGGGGGGGGGGGGGGGGGGGGGGGGGGTTGTATGCCGAGGTCCTCCCCAACACTGGGTCAAATCATCCAAAAACGCTGAGAATACTTTAAGCTGCCGAACGGCATTTTTGGAAAACATGATCCTTTCACTGTCAAGCCCATTCCGAAAGATAATATTTTCAAGTCATTATTCTACTGGTAAAATGTAGCATCGTCACCCACCGGTTCCAGCCGCAATCAGCCACAGGTCCAAAAAAGCGCTCATGTATGCCAGGCAAGCACGGGAACAAAGCCAAGCTTCTGGGTTCGAAGCCGAATTCAAAGCCAAGACAATGACGAAAAGCCGAGATCGAAGCCGTAGATAGTGTCTTCGATGTCTAAAGTTTCGGCGCCGAGGCTGAAGCCAGAAGCTTGGTATCATTAGAACGTGAAACCGACTTAAAAGTCAGTGGCTTCAACAATGCACACGTGCAGCCGAATGCAAGTCAGCGACTTCGAATGGTGTGCATATGTTGTGATTGTATGGTGTGCAGGTAGCGTGTGTAGCATACCAAAGTGTATGCGATCGGAAAACGTCATCGGGGTTTTGAAAGTGATTGAGACAGCGTGTCAGCACTACGGATGAAATATTTTTTCGAGTTATCATCCTCGTTTTTGTGTTATTATGTGGCATGACGTTTTGCGCAATAAGTTCCTCCGCCGTCGTCAGGTATTCGTCGGTCCCGTGATTGAACAGCCGGTTGTTTTTTGTTTTTTTAAAGCCATGTTTGCATCGCAGCCACGAAAAATTGTGCGGCTATTTACGCGACATGAGGGCAAGACTCCCTTTTGTGACGTAGTCACAATTGCCGGGAAGAAGCCGACGTCGAGCCAAACTCAGCTCTTCAACAACACAAATTTTAAGTCGAAGCCAAAGCAAACATTTCAAATGGTCTAAAGCCAAAACTGCATACGAATGCGACCGTGGAAAACTTCAAGTCGAAGCCAAAGACCGTGGTGAAAGTGCGCCTTTGCGTAGCCAGAGCTGAAGTCGAATCCAACTTTGTCCTCATGTCCGGTGCCAGGTCAGTGGTGTGAGGAACAAGCGACATGAGGGCACGACTCCCTTTTTGACGTAGTCACAATTGCCGGGAAGAAGCGAAGTCGAAGCCCAAACTCAGCTCTCAAAACAACACGAATTTTAAGTCGAAGCCAAAGCAAACCATTTCAAATGGTATAAAGCCAAAACTGCATACGAATGCGACCGTGGAAAATACTTCAAGTCGAAACCACAGACCATGGTAAAAGCTGCGCCTTTGCGCAGCCAGAGCTGAAGTCGAATCCAGCTTTGTCCTCATGTCCGGTGCCAGGTCAGTGTGTGAGGAACAATCCACCAAATCCATGACTACTCCAAATCCGGACATACCACCTGGACACGGGCACAGAAAGGCATGCGCTGGCGAGCGTTTCACGCACCAGCATGGGAGCGTTGATGGTGACGATGGTCGTGTCCTCGCTCAGGCCTTCTCCGGACGTAGCGCTATCGAACTCGTAAGTGATGATCTCGTTGTACGTCAGCTGGGTTCCGTCTTGAGACCAGATCAGGTTTCCACGCTGTCTATTTTCTCTGGGAAAGGAGGTACAGGACTCAGTCATGATGCTCAAACTTCGAAGTAAAAACCTTGCTGAGAGATTTCCAGTGCCATACGCAACTGGACTTGAGCAGGCTTGAGCTGGCTTTTGTGCTACCGACAGCTCTATGGTTGCACAGCAAGTTAAGGGGTAGCGAGTGTTAGCTGAACATTGTTGTAGTTATTTTAAAAAAAAATTAAATGGCAGTTCCACTGTAGGTTATAAGGTAACGCACAACAAACCACCAAATTTTATGCAATACGGCAACATCTCTTCAGTGACTTACTTCTTTTACATGCCGTGACATTTTCTGGCGCATTCATGAAAACCTGCTTTTTACAACGTGGACACCTCGAATGTGCAAGAAACCTACAATGACTGTACATTTTATCTACAGTTCACAGCATGTTTTGCATCACTGCCCCTTCCACCAGTCGTTCCCAAGCATAACTTACTGCAAAGGCCTCCAAATAGAGTAATTCCAGCCCCACCGACCACGTTTTTGCAGAATCATTATCAAAGTTTTACGCATTTCTGTAAATCGGTTACCGACTGATGGCCGCGGCCACGGTCAAAAACTAATTACCCACACGTGGTTTCTGTGACGCGAAGCTATGCACCTAGCCTCTCTTGATGCTATCCTAACGTTCCGCAAGGATGTGAAAGTCAACTGTTGGTTTAACGCTGCATGGTTTGAGTGTCTGTTCTGCGATTTCACTAGATGTGTAACGTTTCCAGCATTTACACCTTGTTTCGGCAGACAAATACTCGCCGAATCCGAACGGCCTTAAAAAATCGCATATTTCGAATGCGGATGCTCGGTTCTAGCACATAACATGTGGCTGTCGACGCCGGACCGGCCTCAGGTCATTGCAACCGGCCGGCCGCCGTGCGTACCAACTATAGTAGTTTTGATCGATGATTTGTTCGTTCTGACAACTGATTCTGAATCTAGCGGTCAAAATGACCTGATACCTAATTCTAACAACGAAGGCCGTCGAATATCAGTTTTTACCCATATTGAGGTATGTTAACCCTCGCCCTGGTTGGGGTCTGCCGCCTCACTCGCAAAGTTCTCTGATGATGTCTCTCGGCGGTGTTATGTGATCGCGCTCAAGTGGTCGGAAGCCAGTTGGACATTAATTGTTCGTGTCTTGGCATAAAAGGATACCTCTAGCTTTTTTGGTTTTCCAGCAATGACGTGCTTTAGGAACAATACAGCGATCTACGGCAGGCGCGGGCGGTGAGCGGCAACCAATGAATCCAACGATCGCGCGCGGCGAGCCGACGCTGTCGCATGAACGGAACCGTACGTCATGAAAACACTCTTAAAAGGCAGAGGAAGGCACATATCGATACGTTTAAAACTGAACATAAAACATTTCTGCGTAAGTTTTATGTCACTGCATCGCACTTATTCGTAATTATGGCCATGTAAAGCTGAAAAGTGCGATTTTGGGAAAAAACACTTTTACGTGGCGTAATACGGTCATCATTCACTTTGCAACATAAAATCTACATAAATCATAAAAGCTCGTTGACACCAATCCACTGTTTCTTCCGCGACGGCATGTCGTTCTTAGTTCAAAAACGGAAGGGGGGGGGGTTTGCATCGACTCTCCTATCAGTCTGCTTCATGAAAAGGGCGAATAAAGGTGACGGTTAAAGACAGCCAGCCTTCAGTATGCTTGGCGGCACTGGTTAAGCGAAGTCATCACGCAAACGTTGCAATTCGACAGCAGTATGAGAAAACTCGGCATAATATCCCGTCGATTATGTCGTCGTTTAGCCCGATAACATCGTGTAACCAATGTCACCTGGTGGTTGAAATGGAATGCATAATACTAAACAGAATATATATATATATATATATATATATATATATATACATGTGGAGCAAGAGAGAGATATATACATATATACTTAGACATTATATATATGTATGTATATATGCCATGATGCGTGCGTGCGTGCGTGCGTGCGTGCGTGCGTGTGTGTGTATACTCTGTTTAAGCACGAATCCACTTCGGGCGCAAGTACGCTGTCGCAGATATCCAAAATCTGCCTTTCCCCCGTTGGAGCTTAGGGTTCGGAGCGACTTACCAGAAGCCCTGGATGTCACCATTGTTCACGTCGTTGTGTTCTAACGTTTGGTTACCTCAAGGACGCTGACCTCACCATTGGCCGTTCAATCTCGCCGGCTGCTGATCATAGTCGGTCAACACACGGACCGAGCGATAGTTGAGCTGTGACCGCGATTGCCCCAGACATCCGCGTTATGTGGCGATACTCGCATGCGTCACATGCGTCGCCTATGTCATGAACTGCTGCACTACTCACATGCGTCGTATATGTAACATAGTGAGCAATTCTTACACGCGTCGTATATGTCACTTATGTCGCTTAATGTTGCAAAACTTATAAGCGTGGCATGGCATATATCACTGACGTCACATAGTGCCGCGATACTCGCATGCGTCACATACGTCCTATAGTGCCGCGACACTCACGAGCGTCACATACGTCACCTGCATGGCGTATTGCCGCGATGCTCATATCCGTCACATACGTAGCACAGCGTCACGGTCACCTTTGTCGGCGCGTAATGACTGAGTGGTTAGAGCCTGGGACTTCCACGTGGGAGCTCGGGTTCGAATGCCGGTTGCGAGCTCAATGCAGAACACAAGTCAAAGACGTCGCAAGCGGCGACGAGCTCAGAACCCGCAGGTCACCCACGGCTTTGTAGGCGTCAGCTGGCGGCGATACACATCGTGGCGACGTACGTGGAGGCTAACCGTTTTTATAGTGCTGTAGTGGACTGACAACAGAGGAGAACTTGCTTCGTGCTACGCAAGTGCTTCCATGCCCGTTGACTGTTCTTGCAAACGTTCTGTAGATGGACGCTGTGCGTGCATTGGCTGTGCCCTGCCTGCGCCCAGACACACCCAAGCGTGCCTGGCGGCGGTTGTTGTGTGACCTCCGCCATCGTAACTGGCGCTAGACTTAAGAGAAGTTCAGAAGATTGTGCACATCAATCGACGGAGGCCGAAGCTTTACAACCTGCTGCTCGGAAGCTAGATTGCAAAATTTTGGCTTAAAGTTCAACCATATGTGGCAGTTTGAGCAGCGACATGACACTGTTTCCGTCTACTTGACCCAACGGAGGTACCGCCGAATCCAGCCGACTCTCGTTGTCATTGTAGATTTACGATGCACTCAGTTGCTGGGGCTACATAATGCCCCCTGCCTCTCACCATGGCAGGCCTAGGGCACCGAGGAACATCAAATCCTTTACCTCTGTTTTCCCAGAGTAGAAAATAGACTGATAGTGCAGCCATCAAGATTCCGCTGCTTCATCAGCACCCCTCCCAGTCGACTGATTTACCCTTTTCATATAAAAATTAAATATGCTAGTGGCTGGTTTTAACCGGTCGAAGGTGGGCAATCTCTATTTTTGTATTGTATTTTGTTCAACACAGGCGACTCTGTCGCCGAACGAACAATAGCCTGTTTCTCAATTGTATCCAGCCAAAGCCACACACAAATTCATGTCTGAATATTAGCATACACTGGTCCTTTAAGTAGCACTCTTAAGCAACATTTGTATGTGCTGAAAGATCGTGTAAATATCCGCAGCACGGTTGTGAAAACGAATTTATCCAAGCTTTCACACTGGGGTTGCGTCGTTCATGGGAACATTTATCTTTCCAAAGGCTGCAAAGATATGACTTTCGACTTAACCGTCGAAGGCACGGCGGTTAAGCACACAACAAAGTCATCGAAGCAATCTGAATGAGTGTTAGTCTAGCATAGCATACCTATATATATATATATATATATATATATATATATATATATATGTACATATATATGTATATATATATATAGGTATAAATATATACATATATACATAAATATGCGTATATATTTGCCTATGCACTTCCAAAATACACAACGAACCGCACACCTCAATGCAAAACGTCACGTAGCACTTACTTGTAGGAGAACGGCCCCACTTCTTCCACTATGGGCTTTGAGCCGTTGTCTCTGACATCGTCACCGTTTGTAACATTGAACACGATGAACTGCATGTAGACGTCGATCTGGGATGTAGGTGATTGCCACGGGTCGAAACTTTCGGAGTCCGTCGTCAGTACCATTTGCTGGAATAGATAACCAGGCGTTTACCAAGACATTGGATCATTTCACGTCCTTTCGAAGGGCGGTTGGTGCACCATCAAACCTAGCGTTTGTGTGCTATTCTGATGCAATCACAAATGATGAAATTGGGGCTGATGTTTTTTCTAAATATCCGTAAGGGACGAGCACTCACCGCGAACTATCTAGCGTCGGTTACACCGAACATTCAAGACAGTGTTGTCACATACAGACCCGGAGCTGTCCCCTTATCCCCCCCGAGGAGAGCACACACACAGGCGCAGCACACACACATATACACAATCGAGCTGCCGCCCATCGAATGCGCACCTCTTCAATCATGTTGTCGATGATGGTGGGGAAGCCGTACCAGCCGAGCACACAGCCCAACACCAGCAGGCCCAGGCCGACGCCCAGCACGATGCCGTACTTAAGACCGGGCTGCATGGTGGACGGGGGACGGCACTGGAGTCTGGGCTGGTGGCTGCGGCGTGCCGCGGGCGGCGGGCGGATGGCGGCGGTGCTGCGGCCGACGCCAGACGGGCAGTGCAGGGCCCCCGCCGCCGCTGCTGCTCGCTATCGTTCTTATCAGGCGGCCGCCGGGTGCGCCCGGAGAGGACGGGCGGAGGTCATGGTCTTGGGTGGGCCTTTGAAAATTGTGTGGGCGCGTGTACCCCCGACTGCCGCGTTTGCTTCGCTGCCTTCCGCAGCGTACAGGAAACGCTTCGTCTGTCAAGTTCACGCCCGGTGTGATGGGGAAGACATTTCATTTAACTGGTAGCGCCGACTGCACGCGTGATCCACGGCTTACATCCAGATATTAAGTCATTTCGTGTTCTCGAACAATCAGGTGGGGACAAACGATGCTGCCAATTCACGTTTATACCGTGTAGATGTTTTTGATTACGGCCATTGTGGGCTCTGCCTGCCGAGTGCTGCTGAGCCGGTTTTGCACTGGGTATGGGTACGTTGGTTGTATTAGTCAACGAAGTGTGTATGCGTTCAAATATAATGTCCTCAAAGCATGAGAACAGGAAACTCAAACAGGCACGAGCCATCAACCCCATCTATAATGAATACAATAGAGATCAGGTACACAATTAATGTCGCCCCATCTGAGCGACGCAGCATTCCGCCCAATGGCGAAAGCGCCATTGGGCGAAACGCGGGTGGGAGTGGGTCACGTGCTGCCTGCCGCACCTTGACAGGCCACAGTGATCAGAGGGGCCTGCCCCCCCCCCCACACAGCAATGATCGGTCGTCTCGCGCCCCGCTGCACCGTAACAGGTCGCGGTGATCAGAGGGTGTGCCCCTCCACACAGCAATGATCGGCCGTCTCGCGCGTGTGTGGCCCGTGGACAGCACACATAGCGTCACAGCCTTTCGCCTGGCCCTGTGTGAGTCAGACGGTCACATGCCTAACGCCGCTACTGACACCAAGTTTGCATCCAACCCTCTTGTGCCAGCGAAGCTGACGCTTCCTTCACGGAGGGAGGACTGCGTGGCTGGTGAGAAGTCCCTTGCTGAGAACTGTAGAGAGCTGTGTGACGTACCTCAGGTGCAAGTCGGCAGGGCAATCAGCCACCTCAGCATAAGGACCCTCCTGACATGGAGAGATGCACCACAGTGTAACCTTCTTACCAGCCTAGTCGAGCGCGGTAAACGTTTTAAAGTGTACTGCACACGGGGACAGCGTGCATCAGGAGCCGTTAAAACCTGGGGGCTTCTCAAGGAATTAGTTAAAACGAGGTGTAGGTAATCTCATTTTCGCCTGTATGAAGCGAATGACCGTGGGAAGCGCCGATTCTGAAATGCCTACCAGGGCGAGTCGAGACATTTACACAAACTGTGAATGATCTAGTTGCAGCGCCACTCACAGAATGGGCAGCTCACACCAGTGGCGCTCTTGGACCCGCCCGTGTGTGCTGCCTAGCGTTCGTTCGACACATGTTCCAGCACTCTCGATCGGAACATATCTGGCGCGACGTCGTTTGTACTGGAAGTGTGAACCGCGGGCGAAATCAGACACCATAGAACAGTCGGCGCGTAATACATGCAAATAACGCCCGCTAAAGTAGAACAAAAAGTCCGACCATGCGTCCACTTTTACGGATTATTTGCCTAGCTTTCGCTTCACCTGACGGCAGCCATCATTTTTTTTTTTAGGTCGAGTGAAAACACCCAGCGCTCGACTATGGGACCTACCGGAAAATCGCCTCGATACTGACGCACTCTTAAACACCAGACCAAGGCCGTATCCAGCTTTTCCCACTTCAGACGGCAATCGCATTACTTTTTAGAAGGCGCATCTGACGATAACATCTGATATCAGATCATCGCACAGACCATAAACCACCTTTATCAGGTGGCCATACCACGCCGTCAGCCCGCTAGCTGAGATGCTGAGGACGCATCGACCTTGAAAACGGATGCATACGCAGTCCGAGATGAATGCATTCAACGAAAGATCGCGTTCACGCAAAGGGGTACCGGTGCCCAACGCACGGCCCTGCGCACATCAGAGTCTGAATTTCTCCGAGCGACCATGCATGAATGGACGAAACCCATCTGTGAGCTTTGCCGACAAGCGGCCATCAATCCCACTGTATACCGACTTAGCGGCCGCACTGCTCGTAAGCGTACCATTCTGAACTCGGATGGCAATGAGGCGGCGAACAGAAGCTGACTGTATTGGTCAGTACGTAATCGCAAGGTACTAACTGCCTTGAACTGTCACGCACTGCATAACCGACTAGAAATCTGCAGTCGATGGCGAAACATGTATTTATAAAATCAGGTACCCCAGAAGAACTGAATAGCGCAAACTATGGCACACAGGACACCTTCTGCGGGCCACAAAGGTACGGTGATACGACCCCTGGTGGCCACGGGCGGGCATCACCGGCGTCGCGCCACCACGAGCATCGATCATGTACTGCTTACGTCCTCTCCACCGAGCAGAGCCCCACAGGGCAGAGCGCGCCCGATACCGGAGCCAGGCTAAGGCCACAATGTGTGAATGAACGGAAGTGAGGGCCATGGGGAGGCCCAACACGCAGGCTGTTGCTGCGCCTGTTTTCATAAAAAGTCACACACCCTAAAACGCATCAAAAAGGCAGGCGCACATGAGGCGTAAAAGTTGACGGTGACGTGTCCTTCAGCGCGTGCGGGGCGGGTGCCGACCACCATCGTGTGCAAATGCGCGGACTGTTCCTGAAGAGTATGACGTGTATGCAAGTATCGCGAGCACGGTTCACACATGCCCTGAAAGGACGCTGCCAGAATCAATACGACGGAACTTCCAACGTCGTAGTAGGCCCGGGACGACCGACGATATCCCGGCGCTATCATCGAGCAAACATTGCTGATGGCGGGCATCCCTCGCCCTAAGCCGAGCCCCGAGTCGGCACACAGCTCAGTCCGAGTCGCCGTCGGCTCGGCTCGCGCCGTTCGGGCGAGCCGCCGCCGGTCCGTCGCCCTGCTCCGCGCCCGAGTCCTCGTCGGCAGAGCGCTTTGTCGCCGCCGCGCCGTCCGACAGCAGTGCCTCGTCGCCAGAAACATCCTGAGATCACACCACCTGCACTCAGCGCGGCACACAGACGGCCGGAAACAGGACGGTGGACGGGCACAACGATCTATTGTGTCGTAGTTCACAGTTGGCCTGAACGCACGTGTTATGCTTCACGTGCCAAACAATGGCATCAGCCTCTCCATGAGACTGTGCCGAAACCATACCACGTTGTTGCCACGCGTTTTGCCGGTTAGATGGGTGACAGAGTTGCTCATCTGCACAGTGAACGCATTGACATTGTAAAAAGGAAAGTCTGGGGGCCAAAGTATCCGGTATAACTGAAGCCACTTTGCTGACGCAGAACACCACAGAACATGTAGCAGTGGCTTAGCCAAGAGCCAAACAAATAACGAGTGGCACACAACAATCGGCTGTGCCGTGCATGGGTCACAGTACTGATGGTCACTGAATTTTGTGAAGTGCATCTCGACACCTTCAATACTGCAAACGCCGGCACATTTGGAAGCCGCGCTGTGCCCGGCAATGACGCACCTTCCAAGGGGGCGGCGCCTGGTCCTCGCAGCGCTTCATGGCGTACTTGTAGACGAGGAAGCCCGACTGTCCCGAACACAGCCAGTACTTCTCCACCCAGTAGAGCCCTGGATCACATAACAATTTACATTACAAGGCCGCCAGGGTTTATCGCCATCCCATGAGGCGCATGCGCAGCAGTACTTGTCCTCGCATCACCTTATGGAGTCAGCACCCGATGTCAAACGTTTCAGCGAAGAACGCATCGTCGCATGACTGTCAACGCTCCTGCAGGTTGACTATCCGCTCGCAACGCCCGGCCTCTGCGTCAGCAAGCAGAACTAACAGGAGGGGCAGGGTTTATATCCGACCCCACTGCTATGCAATAGCCGACCAGAGCTGTGCAAAACAAACACCGTTGGAATTACCCCTATCGCGATGAAGGTTTACAAAGCCGACGATTGCTTGTCAGTCCTTGGTTAAGGCAAAATTAGATTAGGCCGCTAATTGCTTTCTAGTCTGCGTTCAACTGACCCACAAACCGATTTCAATGAGAAAAACATAACTAAAATTGTGACGGTGGAAAGCATTTTACTAAGAACAAATGACGGTGGTCAGTACGGGCCAGTGACCAACGGCGGGAAGTTGGGCCAAAATTATACTTCCTGGTCAGGAAGTGATAACGGCAAGCACAAACGTGTATGAATTCGACCAGCAATGCTCCGAAATGACCAATTACCAACGCTTGAGAAGAAACGTCGATGACCAGAGCATGACACTTACATGCCAGGGACAGCACCTACAGGGGGACAGTAAATACAGTAAATAGGGACAGTAAATAGGTTATGTAAAAACACGACGCGGAATAACCATGCTAAAGCACGTAACTTAGTGAAAATGCTCTTAGGGAGCATGTTTGAGTCCAGCACTCCTAACTAAAGGTATAGTCATCAAACCACCGGAGTATGCTGGAAATTGACACAGTATATGACACCGACAGTTTCATCTAGCTCATGCATCCTCGCAGCCATGCTGCAAACGTACTTGGGGGGGGGGGGGGGACTGAGTCTTCCTCGAGCCTGGAATTACTGTTTGGGGTACAACACGGATACAGCTACAAACCTTTTCATCGGCAAGATAATGGGGTTGGGAATGCGTTTAGTTTCTTCGTACGTGTCCCCATCTTGTTGGTGCTGCACACCCAGCTACAATCACAACAGGCAGGCAACACTGTCACCCAGGCAGCTCACAACACTGGCCACGACCATCGCGTCAATGATTTACCCGACAAGCACAGAACCGTGTGGCATTTTCTGCTTAGCTGCATGTCGAGCCACGCTCCAGCCGAAGCAGACGAGATTGATCCCTCTACAGGTTGCATGGTCACCAAATGCCAGCTCTCTTTACAGCAGATCAAATGACCGTCCTGGCTGCTCTACATCGAACCCCTGCGCGAGGGTGTGCAGTGCCGAGGTGGTTCCTGCCGGTGCTACTATGCAACCATAGCGAGTCTGCTATGCTACCAGAGCATCTGCTATGCAGGCTTCAGAGCAATGGTCGGAACATATCGCGCGTTATCGCATCGCACCCACAAATAAGTTTTGCATTCGAGCAACGACAAAGTATCGCTTTGGGCGATAATGGCCAGCTACATAATTTGGCAAAATCAGCTTCTAGGCTTCAAGTTCTACATGCTGGTGTTGCTGCCTCTAAAAACGCGCCACAGCTAGCGTGACGTCACCGGTAGCGATCACATCACCACTGTTTGCCAGAATTTTAACGCCCACGCGTCTGAATACCCCCATGACGTCGAATCTACTCGGCACGCGTACCGGGATCAAAACCTTAATCAGAAACAAGCATGCACTACTTCAGCAGCCCCAAACGCCCACAGCCTGGCCGGAGGGGGTGTCGCGAGTCCGCGGAACACGTGAGCTAATGGTCGCTACGGCGTGATCATGGGAATGACTACGGTTCAGCTCAGTTTTTTTTCTGCGACGATCAGCGGAGGAGATCACGCAGCTGACGATAGTAATTCATGGCGCAAGATAATCGGGAGGTGACAATAAAAAACATCGTGCCTTGGCAGCAGCAAGTCGAGGGGTCGTAGAGACGAGGTCATGCAGACACCACCCCACACCCAGAGTGTGGGTTAGCCCACTCAAAGCCGCCCCCCTCTCGAGAGCCGGATAGCGAACCGATACCGGTCAAGGTTTCAAGTCAAGGCCGCCTCGTTACCACCGGCCGGCGGCGGGGTGAGGCACGGGCCGCTGAGTCCGCAGCGCAGCAGGCGGCCTGCGACCGCACAAGTGGCCGCGGCCGCGCCGCCACTGACCGTCGTATCTGTAGCCCTGCTCTGGCGCGTACGGGCTGCGCAGCTTGTAGCCACGGATCACGCGCACCGGCGTGCGTGTCTCGACGTTGCGGCTCAGCGCCAGGTTGCCGCGCGTCAGCTGCTGGTCCCGCGACTGCGGCGCCGTGCGCAGGTTCTGGCGACACCGGCCGTCGTCATGGCAACCGACGGCGGCGTCCGCCGATCGTTCCGGCGGCAGACAGCAACATCGGCAGATACCACTTCGGCATCGACAACTCCTGGACAGGGTTTCGGTGGCAGCCGATGTTGACGCTCATCTGATCTGGTCTAAAGAGAACCGACATTTTGCTAAGATAAAACCCATGGACGGATCCACCTCGTCCACATGGCAAGACATTCGGCTTTGTAGGGGCATGCTACATCAAGCACAAACACGCTACATCAGGTACAGAATCATATACGAAATACGTCTGCAGTTTTTTAGACGCCGCACAGTAGCCGACGTTGAAACAGATCACGTGCTGCACAACGAGACCTACCTTCGGCTGCGCAGTTGTTCCCTTCAGATCTCTTCCACCCTCGCCAGTGTAGGTAAAACACTCTCCCCAGTCCACATCGTCCTCGTACCTGCAATGTATTTATCGAAGCCAACTTCAAGAAAACAAATCACCTCTGCATGGAAGTGGCCAGCTCAGATTGCTGCACGGCGTACGACGCTCAGCACACACCTTCAAGCGTAACTCCAACATGCTCTACTTTCTGAGCATGGGGCGATTTGCTCTTCGTGCATTTAAGCCGTCAGCTTAAGTTGCCGGCATTTAAGTTTACCCCAGTCAGGCGGGTCCGCCTCCTGCCGTAAAGAATGCGGCAGATTCGCCTCCTGAGGTAGGGTCTGGCAGATCCGCCCCCCCCCCCCCCCCCGGAAAAAGGTATGGCATATCCGCCTCGGATGGGGTAGCAAGTCTGGCGGGTCCGAGTCCTGGGCTAAAGGGTCTGGTCGGTCCTCCTGGTGTAAAGGGTCTGGCGGGTCCTCCTATGTAAAGGATCTGGCGGGTCCGTGTCCTTGGGTAAAGGGTTTGGCGAGTTCTCCTGGAGTAAAGGGTCAGGCGGATGCTCCGTGTCAAGTGTCTGGCGGGTCCGATTCCTGGGACAGAGGGTCAGGCAGGCCGTTGTCTTGAGGATCAGTCTGGGATGTCAGTGTCCTTACAGAGAGGGTCTGACGGGCTCGTGCCCTGGGAAGTGCGTCTCTCACCCGCCGCTGAGCGCGATGCTGTAGGCGCCGTCGGGGCCGGCGTGTATGCCGGCCACGGTCGGCCGGTGCACGCCGTCCGCGCAGCACTCCAGCCGGGTCTGCCACCACGTGCCTACCGCCACGTCTGGGGACGGAGGGCAATCAGCCGGGTCTGCCACCATGTGCCCACCGCCACGTCTGGGGTTGGAGCACACTCAGACAAGTCTGCCACCATGTGCCCACCGCCACGTCTGGGGTTGGAGCACACTCAGACAAGTCTGCCACCACGTGCCCATCGCCACGTCTGGGGACGTAGCACACTCAGTCGGGTCTGTCGTCATGTGCCCATCGCCACGTTTGGGGACAGAACACATTCAGCCGAGTCTGCCGTCATGTGTCCATCGCCACATCTGGAAACGAGGACATGTAAACGTCTTACGGACGGAGAGCCCAGAAACGCGGCCCACATTCAGGGTCACACACGGGTACAACGGCAACCACTCAGAATAACGATAGAGACAGGAGGGTGTGGCCACAGGGCGAAGACAATGCACGTACTGACAGCCACACCTGAAAGTGCTGAAACACACTTAAGTACCAATCAATACAGGATGGTCGCGATGCATGGGATATTGCTGATTACATGAAACGACCAAAAGTTAAGTCTTACAGGGTGGTTAATTCAATGAAAACGTGTCCGCCATTGCAGAATGGCAAGTTAATATTAGGTACATTAGTAATATAAACTCTCGCACGGTTTCATTTTAAATAGCGACACGAAATATGCGCACAACATACCCGGTATGGTTCCATAAACCTTCTCTCGGTTCTTAGGAACGGCAACCTTGATGCGTGGCACGTATGGCTTCCTCTTGTTCGGTCGCTCCTCTTCGTAATCCTCATCGTCCGAATCATCTAAATCTGAGTCGCCAAAGTCCAGGGAAGAAAACTTCGTCGGCTGGAAATTGATAATATCATTATAGCTTTTACTAGCCCAGCAATAAATAAATATATAGCCTTCGAAGCAATTCTTCCCATTCCAAAACGATGGCCAAACCAGCGCATCGGGCACGAAACTGCACCAAATGAAAAGCATATCCGAAACACCAGGGGCTGAGAACCAACACCACACTTGGTTCAGTTCAAGCGTCATACACGTCGCGTCCACCGAACGGCAAACGATTAGCCGAGGACACGTGATCAGCCGTTCGGCCAAGGCAACGGCCCTTGAAAGCTTCACGGCCACCGCCAGGACAATTAGGCAGCCAACAGACATCACGTCCGTCAAGACAGTTCACGCTGAACCCATACAAGCGGCCCATTAAAAAAAAACGATCAAATATGTGGAGGCGCAGGATCCTCTAGAGGAAATGTGGAAGATCTTCACGACGTGAGCACATCGATGCGCTCCAGTGCGCGGGGAATGCAGAAGTTTGGCTTCTGTCGTCAGTTTGCACAGCTTTCACTCCCAATCAGCAAATGTTCACCAAATCAGAATGTCGTATATTTTAAAAATCGTCTTTGTCCGATTACGTCAAATGTGTCTCGAGATTTTCCCGAAAGGCACACAATTTGGGTGACATAGTAAGGTCACCTTTACATCCGAGCTCAGCTCACACAAACGGCCCTTCAAACACGCCAAAATATGTCATGTGGAGAAATCTCACGACGTGAACACACCAGTGGCTCCAATGCCGGGGGAATACAATAATTGTTTTCTATTGAAAGTTTCACAGCTTGAAATTCCAAACAGTAAAATGTCCACCGAATCAGACATGTCCCATATTCAAAGCAGTCATTTTCGTATGATAAAGTCAACTGCATCTCAGTCTTTTTCGAATTTAACAAAATATGTGATACTCTACAGTTAATCGCCTTTTCTCCGAACTTTAATTTTCCACAGAGATTAGCATGGCAGAAAATGGGGTCAATTTTGTCGGGCCATCGGCAAGTTCGTTAACATGTTGAAGCTGGTGGGACACATAAGTTCCACCGAAATTGGGCTGGAGATAACAGGCTCTAAACCCACAAGTGACGGTGAGATATCTCACCCAGCATGGCATTCCATCGAATGCCATTTTGGCAAAGGAAGTGTTCCATGTCATGTCTGCGGACTCAAACCCGCTCTGACCTCAAGGAGACTATTACCAACCAATACGCGTAGCTGGGATTTCGCTCAAGCGGGGGTCATATTGTGTCTCAGGGAAACATTTCCTCCAAGGCTCCCCTCTTCGCGGCTGCCGAGGGCAAGGCTGTTTATTTTTATTCGGAGAACCTTGTTAGGCTCGGGAGCCTATGCTGATGTCCCGGGGGCCATCACCAATGCCTTGGTGATGGTCAATTATTGGTTAAATAAAAATTGACGTTGGTGATGATTTGGAGTTTTAGGGTGAGTCGACTGAAAATGGTCATGAAGAGCTCACAGCTACCATATTATTAAGCAGGGTAGGAATTCAGACGGGTTTTTGAAACATTACGTAGTTCGTAGGAGTCATTCCATCACATGCACAGTCCAGTGGCATCACCGGACTCCTCCCCCCCCCCCCCCCCCACTTCCACTACACCTGAATATGGGGACGTCAACTCTGCCCGTAACTGTTCTGCTCACAACATGCGTTCATCTTTGAGCTGTTGCAGATTTTTCTGTCGAATGCAAAATTTTGCAGAGACGCAATTTGGAGTCAAGCCTTACCACCACACGCACGCAAAGGCATTTCTTTGATTCATACTTGGGACTGCTCTTTCCAGAGCGTTAACTAATATGAAACGATATTACGATTACGATAACTGGAGCAAGAGAAAACCACTCCTCTGATCAGGCACATGTTGCAGCCCAATGCAATGAGAACGCAGTCCGATTGCCAAAGACTGTCAATTGGTCTCGGGCCCCAATCGGTAAACATCGTAAGGGCTTAGTCCAACAGCGGTGAGTTTTGGTTCATACCGCAGAAGGCGTTCGGTATTCAGTTCATCTCGCCACATATCCGTCATATGTCCCACGGAACCATACGACAACCTGTCTCTGACAACCGATGCCGGGTGTGCTATCCCCAGCACTTTCGGTTCGCGCCGCACGCTGGATTACACGCGCATGAATCAGCTGAGCCTCTCAAGCCGGGAGCCAGCAGGTCGGACATGGCAAAGGAACACGTCGCTGAAGCTCGCGCTGGCAATCCCAAGCCCACATCCGTCGAGTGTCATGGGTTGTGAAATGTATTGACACAACGAAACGACGCCGCCTCGAGTGGCACCGGTCACCCCACGGCCGATAGCGCTCCGCGGAGCGGCACACATGGTCCCGAGATCGCTTTCAGCCGCGATTTATCCCCCGCGTATTGCAGTCCTCCAGTGAGCGGGCATCAGCCGCGGCGCAAGCATCTGTCGGCACGTGCTTCAGCAGTCCGCCAGCGGCCAGCACACACTCGCAGACTGAACCACGGAGCCGGCGAGACGGCAGAGAACACGCCCAGGACTGCAGGCTGACTCGCATAACCCGCCAGGCGCAAGCTGTCGTCGGCTGTCGACGTCACACTGCATGATGCTGGTGCAGACGTGGACAATTTGAAGTGGAAGAAAAGCACCCAGACATGGCACATTGTACTGAATAACCTGGACGTCCAATGTTCAGCCATCCTCCCTGGCTTCTCCTGGCGTTAGCAGACAAGGCGGTATTCTAGTCTTGAAGGCCAGTGACAGAGCGAAAATGATCGTCCCTGCTCACAGGTGTGCGAAGAACATCCCACTCCGCAAACATCCACCAGGGAGGAACACAATGAAAAAGTTGGCATCATAAAAACAACTTTATGCAGCCTGGATTGAAGAGATTAGACAAAACAAGTAGTTGTTCCAATTTTCCTAGAAAGAACCACCTATTAAACAAAACAGATCTTCAGTCCAATAAATCCCGACCTGAGCCACTATAAAGTCTGCGCTTTGTCTTCGGCCGCAACGTTATGAGCGTTATTTTGAGTAAACCGCCTTCAATAGGTGCTGGTGCTGGATAAACGACATTATAGGACAAAACAACGATTATGTTAATGGTACTCAATATTTCGAGATGTGGCCATGCTTAAGAGGACTACGATGAGCAGCTCAAGATGACGACCTTGGAGATGACCCCAAATCGAAATATTGGCTATCGCCAATGTAATCGTAAGATCTACAACGTCGTTCGAAGGCAATGTATCACATTTCTGTGGGAGCTCGCAATGCCGAAAAACCGGGAGCAGAGGGCCTTGCTTTCTCATATCAAGGACACCTTCTTATACATTTTATAGAAAAAAAAATTTGCATGCAGGACCAATCACTTGGACAAGATTAAAACAGACATTGGAATGTTGATCGACCCTTTTGCTCTCAAGACGCACAACACAATAAGGCAGCTGCTGGCCATTTAACATCATCGGCGGTTGGACGGGGATTACACGCCAGAAATCCAGCGCTATACTTGTGCAGCACGTCTCAGTGATGTTGTTGTTGTTTATTGGAGTTTAGGGGCGCGCCGACTGCGGTGGTCATTTGGCACCCATAACGAGTATTGTTTTACCATCTATTAAGCAGCATAAATGGTTCCAAAGTTGATGTGTTTGAGAAATAAGAAAATCTGTTGAGCTCCAAGAAATCGTGAGTTGTCTCCAATCATATCAATCAGGGTAAGGGGCGAGTCATGCTGTCCAAAGTAACGTTGGCGTTCTTCCACGAGGCGCAGGCAAGACACAAGGACATGACGAACGGTGAGGACAGCGCCGCATCGATGGCAGATAGGTTGTACGGCTCCCTCCAACATAAAGCCGTGGGTTGCGTACTGTGTCCGATGCGTAGTCTGCAGAGCATCACCTCTTCTCGCCTCATTTTGCGGAAACACGAAAACCACTGACCCAGCTGAGGTTTTATCTCTTTAAACTTATTACCCTCCATCTGATCCCAGCAACGCTGCCACTTGTCATGCAGGAAGGTTTTTATTGCAGGGTAAGTCTCTGGCAGGAATAGAGAGCGAACACATGGAGCCAGCGCTGCTCGCCTGGCAACCGCGTCAGCCACCTCGTTGCCCGCGATTCCAACGTGACTAGGGACCCAACATAGCATAACTTTCTTTCCGGCCCGATCCAATTGAGTCAAACGTATTAAAATGTCCTGTATAAGGGGACATGATGGATAAAAATACTTCAAACTCAGAACAATGCTCAGAGTCCGTCAAAATGAGATGTAAAGGTTCGTCGCCGACTTCAATCAAACATAGTGCCTTAGTGTTTGGTACGAGCTCCGATGTGAACACCGAAGCGTTTGGGGGCAATGAAAACGACCGGATGACGCCACCGCTTACAAACGCACAGCCTACACCATCAGAAGTTTTAGAACCGTCCGTGTAAGTATGTGTGTAGCCCTGATGTAACGCTAAACGCTCAAGCGCTCTGGACCTCATTATATCTAGTGATGCCATGACCGCCAAAACTCATGGTGTTGCATGACCTCCGGCACGGGTTTTGCCGGGCCCAGATCGTCGGGACGTGCGGCCGGTTCGACGAGCGGCACCGGCGGTCGCCCGCCGCGCGGGTGGCGCAGCGTCCGCGGCGGCACGCCCCACCCGTCACCGGGGCGGCGGTGGCGCTCGTGCGGCGACCATCGGCGCGCGTCGATCGGTGTGAGACGTCCGGCGAGAGGCGCCCTCAGTGTCGGGTGCGCGACCTCTTGCTGGCCGCTGCTGATCTCGTCGGTCACGGAGCCGGCGACATGGAAGCCCTTGCTCCCACCCCCCCTCCTCCAGCGGGATGGGTCAGCGGCCGCACCCAACGCCGTGACTACGGAGGTAGTGTACTTTTTCACCTCAGGACATGTATCACACACGGTCGACCACGGGGCTTGTGATTATTTGAGGCCGACACCAGGTCACCATTGTGATCCAGGGGTGAGCACAGTAGCACCAGCCGGTCGGAGATGTTCGTCGGCATCAGGTCAGCCACCGAGTGACCTGAGTTCGCCGGCTCTCGGTGCCCGCAGGCGTCCGATGGCAGATCAGACAGCCGGCCGGTGGCTGACCCGAGCTGCTGGTGATGTGTTATGACCGTAGCTGCTGCCCTCCACCTGGCTGGATGGCTGTTATGATCGTGACTGCTGCCCTCCACCTGGCTAAACGGCTGTTATGACCGTGGCTGCTGCCCTCCACCTGGCTGAATGACTGTTATGACCGTGGCTGAAGCCCTCCACCTGGCTGGCTGGCTGGCTGTTATGGCCAAAGCTGCTGCCCTCCACCCGGTAGAATAGCTGCTATGGCCGTGGCTGATGCACTCCGCCACAACCGGCGGTTGATTCATGGGCGGCTAGCGGTCGCCCGGGTACGTCGCTGTTGGCTGTGGATGTAACAAGTAATGTTGGCTGTTACCGCTGCTGTTGGCTGTGACCGCCGCTGTTGGCTGTGGCTGCTGCTGTTGCCTGTGGTCGCTGCTGTTGGCTGTGGCCGCTGTTGTTGCCTGTGGTCGCTGCTGTTGGCTGTGGCCGCTGTTGTTGGCTGTGGTCGCTGTTGTTGGCTGTGACCGCCGCCGTTGGCTGTGGCCGCTGCTGTTGGCCATGGCCCCTGCTGTTGGCTGCGGCCGCTGCTGTTGGCTGTGGCGCTGCTGGTGGCTATGGCCCCTGCTGTTGGCTGTGGCCGCTGCTGTTGGCTGTGGCCGCTGTTGTTGGCTGTGGTCGCTGTTGTTGGCTGTGACCGCCGCCGTTGGCTGTGGCCGCTGCTGTTGGCCATGGCCCCTGCTGTTGGCTGCGGCCGCTGCTGTTGGCTGTGGCGCTGCTGGTGGCTATGGCCCCTGCTGTTGGCTGTGGCCGCTGCTGTTGGCTGTGGTCGCTCTCGGCGGCTGATGGACCCGGGTGGCCGACATTATCCCGCAGCCGTCGCCGCCGCCCTCGGCCGTGGCCGGCATTTGACGGCCCTGGGCGGCTGCGCCCGGCTCGGCGTCGCCGCTGGCTGTGGCCGCTGTCCCGTGCCGACGAGTGGCGGACTTGAACGGCCGGCAATGGCTCGCGACCGCCGCTAACCGTGACCGGTGACCGTGACCGTGACGGTGACCGGTGTCGGCGGGTGACAGTCCTGGGCGGCCGGATGCTCGTGACTTCTGCTGCAGCCCCTGACCGGGCCCGGCGTTTGGCAGTTGTGTGCGGCGGGCGCCGGCTAGGGGCAGCCGTCGCTGGCTGTGGCCGCTGCCGGTGAGCGGCGGTCCTGGGAGAGTGGCTGCTGGCGACGGCCGCCGGCGCTGCTCTCCGCCGTCTTCGGCGGTTGCCAGACCTTTACAGATGATAGAGGTCGGTGGCTGCTGCCGACGCCGGCCTCGCCCGACGTTGACAGCTGACGGCTCTGGGCGGCTGACGCCGGCTCGGGGCCGCAGCCACTGGCTGAGCTCGGGGTCGGCGACGGCGGGTGACGCTGCCAGATGACCGGTGAACACCGCTTTGTGCCGACTGTGTACAGGGCAACAACACCCAACGGTCAGCAGCATAGCATAGAAGCTGGTGTCTCATCTGCCAACACAGCTGCATTTTCGAATTTTCAAATGTTGGAAGGCTCTGATCATCTCGACTTCGATGACAATTTATGTGGATACAGCTGTACCTGACCCGCAACATGCTTCAGTCATCGTTGGATGCACCGGCGAGCCAATGCTTGGCTTGATGCGCCCTGCGATCCCACTCACTCTGATGCAAAATCACACTTTGCCTGGATGGTCTCTTGGTATCACTGCTTGATACGCTTTTAAACCGTCAGTCATATATATTCTAGAGGTGCTGTTGAACCACCTAATGTCTGAATAAGACTGTTTATGCAAGTAGGCACGTCTCCTAATTCCGTGACGAATTTCACAATCCGATTGGTTGCATTGGTTGCATTGGTTGCCCGATTTTCGAAGTGAAATCTTCATTTCAGTGTCACTGTCAGCTAAAGGCTGATGCTGGGGATCTACGCTTGCAGATTGGCGCGAACGACGAATTGGCTGTGACGGCGGACTCCACACCATGTGCATGGATGTCTCGAAATTATTAATGGCTTGCGCTAAGTCCGATCAATGTGTCCGGGTGATACAGAGGAGCATACCGTCAATATTTATGGAATCATGGGCTTCCGACGGCCTTCCTGCGGCCGCCTCGCCACGCGGTCAAACAGCGTTGCCCGCACTTCGCACAGGGCCTGCCATCATCGCTTCGTCTGAGAAGCGTGCAAACAGCGCAGGTACAGAGAAGGGTACTTGTGCTAATTGTCCGCAAGCCGTTCGCTGACCACACCGTTCTTAAAACACTACATGCTCAAAAGAAAGGGACGTCAATTAGGGCAGGCAGCACGCCACTTGTGCACCTACAAAAGGATAACACTGCTAAGCAGGGACACGCGCGCCGGCAGGACTTTATCCTGCGGCTGCGACCAGTGTCCCATTGGACAGTGACAGTAGGGCTAGGGCACACCACCTGCGGCTGTGACCAGTGTCCCACTCGGCAGTGACAGGAGGGCTAGGGCACACCACCCGCAAGCTTCGGCACGAGCCAGCGCGCCCGCCTGACCTTGTTGGAGGCGCGCGTCGAGCGCCGGCGGCCGTCGGTTAGCTGGGTGCCGTAGTCGACGGCGTCAGCGGCCGGCCGGGGCTTCTTGACCGGCCGCGGGCGGACCGGCGCCACCGCCGGCCGCTTCACCCGCATTGCCGACGGCAGGGGCGGCAACTGGCGGCATCAGGACAGGCAGTGATGTGTCCGACCCGGCAGCGGACAGGGGCAGACGGACACAGCTTGACAGACAGTGGAGAGGAGGCCGACTTCACGGACGGCTGATGCGCGTCTGCAAAGATTCCCAACATGGCAGACCGAAGGAACAGTAGAGAACATGATAGAACAGAACAAGAGGTACAGGCACACAGCCAGAGACCTCGGTATTCCACACACCGGCGGATAAGACAGACAGACAGACAGTAGGTCACATTGGTACACAGCTGAGGCGGTTTCGGAACACGGGAGCTCTGACAGCATGGGGTGAAGTGTGACCCTATCACAGTCGGAGTCACGTCAGACGCGACAGGAGCCTCGTGGTGCACTCAAAAGAGGACCAGCCAGTGAGCAAAAACAGCGCTAGACGTGGTGCTAAAGACAGTCAAAAGAAACAACATAGCAGTGAGAAGTCGTCCGAGCTGTTACCGGCTCGGTTACCGGCTGGTTCCCGCGGCGCCCGCCCTTCCTGTCAGGATGACAGGCAGGCGATGCCAAAGGGCCTGCTACGTGAGTCGTAAAGCCACACTGGCATGAGCTGTTACCGGTTCGAGTAGGCCGAGTTCTCGGAGCACTTTGCGGTTGGCATCGCGGTTCGCTTTTTGACGCTCCTCCAGACTACTGAGGGTGTTCTGCGTTTTTGCAGGCATCGTTGGAACAGCTGGGTCCAGATCACAATACCACCAGGCTGCAGCAGTCTTCCTGAAATGGGTAATGGTAATGACATTTCTATCTGGCATATGGGGCATCATCATGCTGCCTCTTTCTTTTTCACACTTGCATGCCCGCAAAAAATATTTCTGCTATCTCAAGATGCAGATAGCTGCTATGGCTATCAGGGTGGCCTCGAGCTCACTCAGTGGATGGTGTGAGACCAGTGAAGTCACCACGTTTGAACTTAATACTAAGACTTTGCACGAGATCATGGATGAACATTCCACCACCTGAAGCACCAACACAGTCTCAGCAACATCGCATCGTGTGTTACATAGGCATAGTCAGGGAAAACAATAATATTGGCAAACAACCCATGGTGTTATTTTTGTGTTTAAGCCAACTGTGGCCGGGACCACCAGCGCGGGGCGTGGTGGAGAGCAGTGCCGGCGTGCCTACCAGACGGCACTGGGGACCCTCTTCTAACTAATATCGCTTCCCTGAATACGGCTGACACGCGAACGGTAGTAGCGTAGGGTTAGGAGGTGTTCGCTTCTGTATCGAGCTCCCCGCCGACGCTATTGTGTTGGTGAACCAGTCCGAGGCGAGCTCAGCTCGTCTCGGTCCGGCTCAGCTCGCTTCGCTCCGGCTCAGCTCGCCCCGGTCCAGCTCAGCCAGCCTCGGTCCGGCTCGGGTGGCGCCCCCCCCCCCCCCCCCCACAGGTGGACGATGGGCCTCTATTTCGTGTCTCACGTCGTTCCTTCTGTGCTGTGCTGCCCCCATCCCCCACCCAGCATAACCCCGAAGCATCCCGCCGACCCCCCCCCCCCCCCACAGGTGAATGATGGGCCTCTTTTCGTGTCGAACGTCGTTCCTTCTCTGCTATGCTGCCACCACCCCCCACCCAGCACAACCCCGAAGCATCCCGCCGACCCCCCCCCCCCCCCCCCCACATTACAATCCGCCTTGCGCCAGTTCGGGCTGTATAATGAGATGACCTTGTACGATCTCGCCTCGTCCCCATCCGTGACCTGGGGAGAGGGCCACGCGGCACTGAGTGGTCAAGAGCAGCACCACTGTGTGGCCGCCAGATGGCAGTGGCACCCACTCTTCTAACTAGCATCTCTGCTCTGAATACAGCCACGCACTATAAAAGCGTGTGGCTGGGAGCATTAGCGCCCAAACAGAGCATCTCGTCCACCCTAAAACGTAATTCAAATTCAGGGGCAGGATAAAATCACCAACATGCCAATGCATACATGTGTGATTACAAATTAGTTTTGACTTTGCTGGACTAAGGACAGAACAATGCCAGAGAGCAATGTATTGGAAACATCCAATTAAAGTTGATGCATGCTGTGCAAGATGCTGATTCAGACCATACTTTACTTGGGCAGGGCCAGTCAGAATCATGGCCAGGGTCAGAACCAGGAGCAATGTCAGAATCAGAGGCAGAGTCAGTTATACCAATATTGTTGAACTCACAGATGATTAAAATCACATTAAAATTTGAGTCATGATTTGACCCATAACCTTTGGACCAGAATCATCATGTGGATTTTAATGTGCAAGTCTAGGTTATTGAACGTTCTATTTTTTATTGTTTTTTAATTTCTATTTACATACATTTATTATTAAACAATTGAACACAAATGCCTAAACACTCCTGGAAAATCGTGATACCCATGTGGCATGGTTTCATCTGCTTATAGTGATCTAGATAGAGGTAAACAAATATCAAGAGTGGACATGCTTGTCTTGAATGTACTGAAGGTTCTCTTTTATGATTTCCTTGCCAGTCTTTGCTCCACATACAGTTCCAAACATGTTTTACAAAGTTTAGGCAGCTGCTGGCTGGGTTAGTCTCCTTGCTTTTTACCATTACTTGAATGAAATCACTGTAGGTTGTTAGAAAATTAATTTTTGTTCACTGTGATAAATGATTGATCTTCAGTTTAAGTCACTGAGTTGTGTTAAATACCAGTTTTTCCTGCCTTGACCACTTGTGACAACCTGAGATCATTTTGCATCATCGTTATATCAAAATCTGGCACCACTCTGCTGATACAAAAAGTGAAGGCCTGATCATAAGCCTTGACCAGGCCTCAAAAAATGCATAATACACTGAATGTGTTCCATCCAAGCATATCAGACACCTAGCAATGATTTCAGCACATACACTCCACAAACCTGAGTTCCCAAAAGTTTTGGTGCAAGGTCACCAACAACTTCAGCACATGGGCAGGATATGTTTGAAATAGTTATGATGCTACAACAATCATTGCAAGCAAGACTACATCTCATATTTTTTTCAAGAGAGCGTAATTGGAAAAATAATTCATTTTAACCTGGCCAAGTTCAGCACATGCATTAGGTTCATCTCAGTGACAGAAGACATATTTTTATAACTTAGGCCTTGTAGTAGTTCACTGAGCAATTCTCTAGGAAAAAAATATGCAAAATATCCACACACCACACCAGATTTCTATGAAACTATACTACTTTGCATTCTGGGTATTTCTTGTAAGTTTATGAAGAATACCTGAAGCAGGATCACAGGGGAGTGAGACCACAACACGATTTTATTTGAAGTTAAGATAAACGGTACATCTTGAAGCAAAGGATAATAATTTTTTTCAGCATGGGAAACATCAGTTGCAATGGGCCACTTCCAAATAATAGTCGCCTTTGGTTCATATCCAAAGTAGCAGCAACGGGATGTAAATGTCACTCTACCATGTCATCATGGAGCATTAAAAATGCGGCCAAATTTTGCCCTCATATGAAGCCAACACACTTTCCGAACTCGTCCTTTAAGCCCGGGGTGCAAACAAATGATCCCCACCTTTCGCGATATACCCATCGCCTGTCACGGCGCACGTGTCAAAATTAGCGCCTTGGTGAATAGCGCATTTCTTTATGAACAAAACAAACGCAACTAGCTTGCGTCACAAAATTCTGACCAATCATGTAAGGCCCTTGATGCTGTTCCCTCAACACATGGGATAGTGCATTGTATCCATCAGTATATTTAGGCTTCTTGTAAGGTGTAGCATACTGTGATTATTCAAAGCATTCCGGAAAATGATCCTAATCTGAGTATGCTGTATTTTTGCTACGTTTGTCGTGTTTGTTGTGAACAAGCATCCAATGGTGCTAGGCGCATTTGCCCGGAGCACGACCCAGCTCTGATACACCTGATTTGATAGAGAGAAATGTATGTTTTTCTGAATGGATGCAACACACGATATTCCTTTTGTATGTTATATTATCAGCGTCTAAAATAAATGGCGAAAAATAAAACATTCCTAAAACTTGGCGGCGCTGCGGCCTTTCGGAAAACATCCGTTGGCGAAGATGGTAGGTGCCGAGTGGATTTTTGGGTTATGTCTATTTTCGTTGCGTTTTTGTTGTAAAAATGGAATCGTGATAATGTTTCCTCAGCCCCCTCTACGTTTTTCGTAGTCGTGGCTCGCTCTGCGGGGTCGATATGTGTGGTTACGGGTTTTATGATCGCGCTGTGTGCGTCATTAATGTACTGTTGTTCCATGTACGGAACAAAAGCCATGTATTTTTGCTGGCCAACGGACAGTGCCGTATTCTTCCTATGAATATCGCATGATGTTTGTGGCAAGATGATAATTGTACATGCCACACATTCTCTAACTTTGGATAGTACGACACTGCGGTCTTCACATTTATTGATGGTATAAGGTGGCATGCAGTACTGCTGCTGAGAAGCCCTCATAGTAAATGACATCATCATCTTCATAAGGCTGAAAATTTCCTAGTAGCTAGCCTTAAGCTATCCTCACAGCACCTTTTTGGGACAAGACAGGGCTGCTTGGTATTAGATTGGCCATGTGAACCATAACACCTTTCCTTTCATTGAATTCTTTGGTTACCACTTAGTCACCATTGTGACAACTTCATGTAAGCCCATTATTGGTGGGGAATGAGGAACATGTCAGTGATGTATTATGGGCAGTCAAGTCAAAAAGTGGTGGAGATGGTTTGGTATCATTCTGGTGACTGCCATGTTGCTGTGTACTGCAACATTGAAAGTGCTTCAGATTTTTCATCTTGGTTGCATCTTTGGCTCTTGTTTTCATCTGTGCTGCAAATTAACATTGGTAATAATGCTTAATGAAAGGTCAGGAGTAGAGGTTAAGATGCTGTTATATTTATCTTGGGTCATTGTGTGATACTGAAATAGGAGCTAGGCCGTTTCTAAGCAGACAAGACTTAAGGTGGATGGCAAGACAAGTGTGGCAGTTAACTTCATGAATTGTTTGCATATGGGATCAGGAAGTCTGAATATACATGTTAAATATTATGCTGGAAATCTGTGTACTGTTCCATGGGAAATGTGGATGGAACTGTAGTCTTACAGTAATTTTGTCTTTCCAGTCAACCAACAAGAAGAAGACCAGGAAGCTTCGTGGCCAAGTCAGCCATGGCCATGGTCGTATTGGTGAGTGGATAGGTTGATCCATCATCTGGTGACAGTCCTCATTGCCTGAGAAGTGTGTGACAACATTTGAGTGCATTTACTGCATGCAAGATCTGCTTTTCATAAAATTTTGTTCATTCCCCTTATGCAGGAATGGTAGGCATATCAGGTCAGAATGGTTTCCTGAATACATTGAAATCTGGTGGGGAGTTGGGAAACAATTTATGTACTGAAGGAAGTGGTAGGGTGGAAGTATGCTGCACCTGACTTAAAACAGATGGGGGGAAAGGCTTTCAGGCAGGAAGTGCACCACATGAACTGTTGATATTGAGTGCCATTGCTGATCAGGGTGCTGCATTTTGTGTGTAGTAGAGAGATATTTTGTTGACTACTGAAACCTTTACAAGCCGAGGAGACTTTGTAGTAAGTCATTAGCGTACTGGCATGGGAAAACCTGTGTAGATTACTGGTTTGGTTTAATAGGTTTAATAGCTGTTAGCTATTACCTGTTTATATAATAGCCAGCTTAGCTGGTTAACTGGTTTAATAGCTTTGGGGATTGAGGTATTTGAAGTGTTGTGGTATGCAGTGAGATTATGGTATGATGATTATACAAATTTACACCTGTCTTTATAGGCAGTAAGTGACTTTTTCCCCCATGAGCACAGCCTGCACATGCTTTTTGGTTGTGGTGTAGTTAGCACCATGTTGAATGCTGTTGGAGCACATTTACTTCTGGCCAGGACAGCACAACCTTCAGTGTTCAGAAATATCTCATACGCTCCTGAAAGCATTGTAACCAGTGTGTCTACTCTCATCTGAAAAGGTGATAGTGGCAATTTGACTGCAGGGACCTTGTGATGGCCATAACATGAGGTGTTTGCAGCCCTAGACAGTCAAACAGTGTGCCCTTGGGCGCAAAATGACCCTAGCAGTTGACACACTCTAAAACCACAATAAACATCATCAAACAATGTGCGTGGAAGTTATGCTAAATACCACAAACTAGTGGTCCCATCTAGTGGATTTTAAGCCTTAAACTGGTATGGCTTCTTTTCATTTTCATTGGATCCATAACAGCAACTACCATGCCAACCTCTGATTCACTGCAAGCAGCAGGGACTACCCAAAGGCTGGTTGTGTGCCATGCAACAAATGGTTCATGCAGTGCATTTTCACTACACATGAACCAGTGGTTGCCAAACTATCAATGGCATCATGGCCATGCACTTAAATCAACTAGTCTGTGTGCTGTCACTTGTTTAAGGGTTGAAGTGTAAGTGGCTTTGCTGACAAGCATTCTAAACTTGACCTGCAAGTCTGGTTTCTATGCTTGGCCATGCACTTTTGACATCATAAAAAGCTGTGTGACAGATGTGTGTGTGAGAGCAAAATATATGTATGTCTGCAATATCACCTATAACTATATCTGGGACCAGTCAAAGGTAGAAGTAGAAAGGGCATCAGAGGAAGCATCCAAAACTGCCTGGCATTTGTACTTGCAACCTTGCAATGTACAGGCAACTTAATTGGCTTGTTTGTGTAAGGTCATGCAAGGTCAATATGTGGGGAATTTGTGTAGTGGTACTTACTGATCATTGCTGTTTTCAGGCAAGCACAGGAAGCATCCTGGAGGTCGTGGAAACGCCGGCGGACAGCATCACCACCGGATTAACTTTGACAAGTACCATCCTGGATACTTTGGCAAGGTCAGTATTGTCATGGCACCAAAACCCAGACAGCTACTGCCATAGTATGTGTTCTGTAAAACATTTTCCAGGTTGAAAGGAAAGGGTTAGGAAGGATAACATTGTCATATTGGGCACAACGCATTGGCCTCTTGATTAAATTCTCTGCACAGAATGGTTCGCACAATTTCGTCAAATCCCGAAGTTCTGCAAAGGTGTATGTGTGTGTTGCATGGCAGTATGCCTGTTGTGTGTTGCACTTGTCAGTACATATGTTGCAACTGTTCAGTTTCGGCACTGAAGGAAGCATGAAAGGACGGCGGGCATGGCTTATCCGCGGTTTCACACGGCCATGTTAGTCAGTTACAACCTGACCGACCAGACCATGTTGCAACCAGCTATAACTGGAGCAGACATGTGAACATTGTTCCTGCTACTGTATCATGACCATTCCTGTGTATGACAGGTCGGTATGAGAGACTTCCACATCCACAAGAATCGCAAGTTCCGCCCGGCCATCAACTTGGACAAGGTGTGGTCACTCGTGTCCGAAGACACCCGCGTGCACTTCCAGAAGCACACGGACAAGGCGCCCGTCATAGACGTGGTCAAAGCCGGCTACTACAAGGTGCTGGGCAAGGGCCTGCTGCCCAAGCAGCCGGTGATTGTCAAGGCCAAGTTCTTCTCCCGGTTGGCTGAGGAGAAAATCAAGAAGGTGGGCGGATGTTGCGTGTTGACTGCGTAATGCTTTCGCCAATATAAATAACGTGCATCCCGTGTTTTTTATACACCATGAAAGCCTTTGAAATCGACAGCGACGTTGGGGTACCAGAGACAACCTACCTGAGTATTGGAATAAGCCTACCTGAGACGGCGTTTTATTGTTCACCACCTATGGAGGATGGAGACGATTGCGTGCATCCGCTTGCGCGGGTGTGTGGGTTACTGCTGCCAATTAGATCGCTTTTCTGCGCATCCTACGTATCCATGGGTCGTAACCTACTACGATGTGAGCAGGAGGCATTTTGTGAGGTAGAGCGGCATTTCTGTGCGATTCGCCATTTTAAACAGCGCTGTGATGTCGGCTATGAAATGACCCGTAATGCACCTAATATTCGCCGATGACTGATGTAAAAATGCTTGTAAGTAGAAGTACGTTGAATTTCAATGGCGCCTGTCTCCACTGGCAATGGGGGGAGGGAGGGGGGGGGGGGGGCGTAGCAAACAGCCAACTGAGACATCTATTCAGCTAGTCGACCAACGGCTCGAGCACTGAGTGTGGGAGCGGCCACCACCGACGGCACAAGAGAACCGGAGCGCGAGAAGGGACCCGGCGGATGGTCCGGGGACGGCAGGGTGCGACTGGTCGTGCACTGAACCAGGAGCCGCGTGCGCTGGTCTCCTCGACCAGCCGAACCCGGTGAGACAGGGCAGGCGGAGATCGCGGCGCCGCTCGTCCGCCCCCAGTAGGCCCCGGCCACCCGGATGAGCCGGTAGCCCCGGATTAGTCATACCCACGACCAATCCCGGAACGGTCCAATGCCGGCTATAGCACGGCTCTGAGCGAAATGTCCGGGGTCGGTCGCAACATAGCGGATCCTAGAACGGCCGAGTCGGTCGCAGCGCGGCCGAGACTGAAACGGCCGAGTCGGTCGCAGCGCGGTCGAGATTGGAACGGCCGAGTCGGTCACAGCGCGGTCGAGACTGGAACGGCCGAGTCGGTCACAGCGCGGCCGAGACTGGAACGGCTGGGTCAGTCGGCGCGGCTGGTCCCCGGAACGCCCAGTCAATCAGTCACAGCACGGCTGATCGTAGAACGGCCCCGTGGTTACAGTGCGGCGTATTCTAAAACGGCCGACCCGGTCACAGCGAAGCCGATCCTAGAACGGCCAGGAATAGGCCACGTTATCCCGATGCTGCTAGCTTAAATCATTTTTCAGTTAACCGCTTCTTTAATGCGTGGCCTCCGAGCATGAGACGAAGGTAAGGCAGCGTTGATGTGAATGCGTATTTTTACTGCTACTGTCCTCAAAACTATTTATCATGCACATTGCTTCGCACATCTCAAAGAGGTGACTTCAGTGATCTGCTACCAACTTTGCATATGCGGGGGTTACGTGTTCAGATTTACATCTGCTGGCCATTCAACTGTGAAACGTGATTGCGAGCTCGATGAATAGCTCTTCATAGCGCTGAAGCGGAACGATTCATCTGCGGTTTTATATTTACGTAGTCAGTTACTTACGTGTGCGTCAGCGGCAAATTTGTCCGACTCACACTTCAGCCTTGCCCTTATCGTTTGTATTTGTATAACATCGTTTGCATCACATCATTCGGCTGTGTCCAGACATGTTCAACTGCTATTGCTGTTGCCTTGCACCTGTCTGCTCAATTGCGATGGATGTCACTGAATGCATTGTCCGAGGTAAAGTGTACATCTATTTTACGCTTTCTGTGAACGGCCATCTGGGCCCTAAAATAAAAAAGTGGGCCTAGAGGAATGGTGCCACCCTATTGGCTGCGCTGACCTGGAACAACTTCCGGGATCTTATCAAGGGGTTCATGGACACTGCGGCCAGGGTCACAGCCACAGTAACCGTGAGAAAGGATCACCGCGGTTAAAAAGGACCGGCGGCGCTGGAAAAACAGCAGGAAATCCAATCCTTCAAATCGTACCTCAAGTGTTGTCCGCCGGGTGTATCTCGCTGCGTTTTGAGCGAGCAATTTTTTATTTTTATGTTCAGCTGTGTTGACTTGAAGAGAAGCCAAAATTATCAGAAATACAATTGTGCATGGATTTGGATGCACATATAATATCAACCTGGAATTGAATGACTGCACAGAATAAATCGCTGTCCTTTCCTTTTGCAATGGCTTACTCGGCTCTTTCAATAAAACGGATAACAGCTAGGGGCGTTGCTGGATTTTCTCGGACTTTTGCGAAAATATGGATGACCTCAATGATTGAACGCCGGCGTGGATTGAAACAAAGCCAATAATTTGCATTAATGTGCCGTACTCTTGTTCATGTGGAGAAGTTCATCTCTTCCTCAGAATTAATCAGCTAGAAGTTACGCACAATAGTTTTAAACATGGGCGCTCGCAGTCTAGGAGTACGAACACCGGCGCTGGGCGTTGCAGTCTCCGCTGCCATCGACCTGGCAGCCGACACCCAGTGGGCATCAACAGGTGGTGGAAAACGGCCAAACATCGGAGTGGCAGTTTCGAACGCCTCACGAAATCAATTGGTAGGCGTGTGGATAGTATCCCGAATCGTACATTTCAGCTGTGCGACCTTCACCTTAACACGCCGGATGGGGGTCAAATTGACCCCCCGAAGGTTTTTCCTGAATGGTTTCCGAACGGCGCGGCGTAGCCGCGCCAAATGTTGCATAGCTGTAGAAAATTGAATAGCGGATTGTTGGACATCAAAAATTTAGATATAACTTGCAAGGTCGCTGACCTATGGCAGGTCAAAGTCAGGCCATGGTTTCAGCGGAGGCAATTTCCAGGGAATCCTTCAATCTGATTCGACAACGGAGTATTAGACGAAACCGTACGTCTCTGAGATGCTTTCTTAGGCAACACAACAGTTGAATGAGCAAGTTACATTGGCCTAAGGTCAGGTATGAAGGTCACACCAGGGTCAAAACCAACCTGTTTTGTTACTCTAGGGCTTGCTGTATGGGATAGTTTCTGGTGCTCATTTCGAGTTTATTGATAGCAAGAAGCTCATTATACGTCTTTCATGGACTTCTTAGAGGTCAGAATAGGTCACTGAACTATAAAATTTTGTTTTAGGAACATGCTGCCTAGTTAATCTTTGTCGCGTAGTCAAATTCAAAACTCAAAGCAATCTTGTATGCTTTTGGTTACCTTGACCTTCCAAAGGTCAAACAAGGTCACTGACCTTGAATGAGAATGCGACCTTTTGCTTAGAAACTGTTATCTAGGTTCTGGGGGCACTTCGGAGACCAATCTGGAGCTTGACCTTGTTTGACCTTTTTGACCGGAAGATCATGACCTAGGAACCTCAAGCTTTGACCTCAGTGAGTTAACGTACAGGTCAATACACTCTGTAAAAGGGCATCTAGTCGGCCACCCGAGCACGTGTTAATGCTTGGAAGTCGGTACGGATTAGCACGCACAGCACCACTAACTCATGAAACAATGGCGTAATCTCTATTGCTCGTGTTGCTGTAACTTGCAATTCCGGTAATGGAATTTATACTGGAAATACGCGGGTAGAAATTGCTTGTCAGGAGCTAATTAATCTTTCCGTTCCACCCCGTTTTTCTTTCCAGTTTGCGGCAGGGGGCTTCAGCCCCCCCCCCCCCCACCCCACCCCCTCCCGCTTGGGCCCCCAACTTTGGGAAGTGTCAAATTTGTGGAAAACCCTGTTTGTTGGCGTATTTTGCTGGTAGCTTTGGTCATTTTTCACGGTTCGGTCCGAAATCATTTTGTGAAACTGCACCCCTGCCACTTGCCGATCTCATGCCTTCGGAAGAACGCGACGTGCACCACGCCAGTCCTTTCCTTGCTGTGGCAGGCCCTCTGACCGGACCGACGTAGGGTCTGACCTTGCTGACACAAAAGGAGCTCTCTCCGGTACGGGGCGTCCAGCCATTGCCACCGAGACACAAATTCGTATTATGGGCCAGTAGTTGAAACTGTGTGGAGGACCCTCGTTTGGTACCGGGCCACTGACTGACACAGGGCCTTATCTTTGTTTCATTGCGGTTGTGAGCCTTTGCATCGTCCTTTTTATATCTCCTTTCATTGCTGAGAGGCCCGCACCAACTCCAGAGGCCCCTCGACGTTTGGAGTTCAGTGTCTGTCCTTGTTCAGGAAATGTGTCCCTGGTCCATCGGTGCCCATTACCCACACAGGCTCCCCGTTAGGAGTGCAGGCCCCTGAACGGCACAAGAGCCCCTGTTTCAGGACACCCACCAATGCAAGAGGCGTTCTGGTTCGCATTTTCTGGCCCCGGCGTTGACTCTGCTGGGGAAAGGGGCCATGAAGCCTGAATCGGTACATAAAAGGCTGTTCGGCATTGGGGGCCTCAGCCGACTGACTGACAGAGGCGTCCCAACGGACTGCTAGGCGAGTCAGAAAAAATCAAATGTGTCTCGTCACCAACCTTAATGAAGAGCTCCTCGAGGATAGCTACCAGCTCGGCTGTGTACATCAACGACTGGGTAATGGCACTTCAAGCGCTCACAAAGATCCTGAGGCATTGTTCGCCTCGAACGTTTCCAAAAACCGGTCATCTCAGCCAACATGGCTGCATGCCAGCGCCAGGCTACTCCATGGCACAACACAGATCAATCCACGGCGACCTCCCGCTCCCATCAACACATCATTTGTACAACACTGTATTTCCTGGCCTTTCTGAGCTGCCCTCCGTCCACATCATCCGAGAGCGCGCTAGCCCGAGTCGCGAGGCGGGGGGGGGGGGGGGGGGAGGGGCACATACGACCGGTGAGGCTTGCACGGTCCGACGCGGCACGGTTCGCGGGTCCGTTACTGATGCGCGCGCCGCACAGCCCGTCAAAATCATCACTATTCTCAAACCATGGCCCTGGCCGAAACGTTTACGCCCAGTGGCGGCCACAGAGACTTGCGACGTCCAAAACACGCACCAATAAATCTAGTAACAAATGCACAATATAAATAGCACTAATGAAAAGCACTCATTTCGTCAACGTCCAGCGCGTCACGTGCGTCACACTTTCGTCTTCGCAGGCGTAGACGAATTAGCGTTGGGCACCACAACGTTGTTCTTTTTGTTGACATATTTGCACTTCTTCACATAGCTGATGATGAGCGAGTGAATCTTCTTCGGGTTAATCTCACCCGACTTGCTGTGACAGATCTGCCAGGGAGATGTATTACATGGTCAGAAATGTTCAGTGCGACACCAACGTCGTATATGACCCACGTCAGCGCTGGAACCGAACGCGAGACGGTCGGGCGTGACAGTGATCCAACAGCGACACAGCACTTGCCAGACGGCTCAACAGCGGAGGTACGCTGCGACACACAACGCACAACGCGCAGTCCGACAGCCACGTCCCGCAGACACGAGCATGGCACAAAGACGAGCTCATGCCAGCGATCCGCACGGCCACCACTCGCAGGTGGCAGCGCTGCTGGCAGCTGTCGCCCCTGTGTTCGAACGAGCCACGTTACAGCGCGCCCGGCACTCCGGAGTGGGACGGCACTCCACGTGCGCCCAGCTGCCAGGCGGCGACTCGACGAGGGCCGGACGTCGGAGGTCGCACCTCACGAGCCCCGTCACCGCCAGCCTGCGCCCGCCCCTCCACCTCACCTTCGGCACGGACTTGCGCAGTATCTCCTTGTACTGCTCCTTGGTGACGGTGCGCTTGTGGTAGAACGGCTTCAGCACCAGCTTCACCTCCTCGATGACCCGCTCCTGTCGGTTCAGCTTCTTCAGGAACTGAAAGCGACCGCACCCCCACCGTCAGCCGACGCACACCGCCTGGTGAGGCCCCAGCAGGCGTACCGGGTACCAGTGCGTAGCAAAACAGTCAGCTGAGCGGCCCGTACGCACATCGCCGTCACGCGTCACTAGTTTGATGTCATCACTGGTAGGCGGCTGATAGATTTTGGTCAGTCGATTACGTAGACATTTTAGGTAATGTCGCTGCAAGGCGAATACAGAGAGGAGCAGAATTCTTGACAACGAGAAAGCGAAAGAATCTTGAGAAGTGACAGACGCCGAACTCCACATAAAGCAGGCTTACACCGACAGCTAGAGACTGAACACGTCCCAAACAACCAGCTCAGTCCTGCTGCGAGCAAGCGGGAAAATCAGCAGCGTCGCGCCAACTTGTGGCTCCAAACAAGGCCACTGATACGTATGGGCGCCAGTCGACTACGGAAGCTGACAGCAAACAATTAACAACCAACAACGCTGAAATAAGTCGAAAGGGAGAACGGTGATGACGCCATAGACGGGGCTTGGGGCACAGCCCGACCTCTACATCAACACGCCATGGGGCGGGGCACACAGCCAATCAGTGTCTCTCACTTGCGGACACCAGAGGCTCAGCCGACAGTACAGTGCGCGTGAAATATTGGTAGGCAGGGCTGGGGGTACTACACATCAGCAGCGGTAAGCACACTAGCACGCCGAGGCGCCGACCGGCTGAGTGTGGGAAGCTTCTCAGCCGGCGCTGTTGGATATCCCGTCAGCTGGCGCTCAGAGAAACACCAGATGCTAGCTGGCGCTCAGCGGAACACCAGGTGCTACCTGGCGCTCAGCGGAACACCAGCTGCCACCTGGTGCCCAGCAGAACACCAACTGCTGCCTGGTGCTCAGCGGAACACAAGCTGCTAGCTGGCGCTCAGCGGAACACTACCTCCCACCGAGCACCTAGCGTCACTCCACGCCAGTCAAATCAGCCAACAATGCACGTTCAACAGTGTTTGGATGCAAAATAGTTGGGATATAGCAAATCGTAATGAAACCTCGATCGTTCTCAGACATGCGTTCCAAAACTCTGTACAAATACATGACTGAGAACATAATTTTCCGTACGCCAAAGCCCTGTTGGCACAATTTCCCTGCAGAATGTCCCTGTGCTAAACCAACACTTGGTCCAAAAAAACAAACGAGGAAGTCGTCAATATTGAAATCGAAAGCACCCCAAAACAAAATATCCTAGCCACCTGAACTACGTTTGCCTCGTTTTACTGACGTCACGCCGTGACCCTCTACTTTACGCTTGTGCGTAATTTTGCTAACGCTTAAGTGAGCGCAAAACATGTAAGCACTAGCGTTGCAGCCTACAAGGAGAGGTTGGCCAAACTACGCACTACCGAAGCGCCAAGCGTACCTTCTCCTTTACCTGCATCTCCACGGCCGAGTTTGGTACGTCGTCAATGACCTTGAGGCCCTCCTCCCCTTCGGCGGCGGTGGAGGTCGCAGTAGACGAACCACCCTTACCAGCAGCTGTCAATGCCGAACACAGGTTAGAGACGCTTCTACACGCGCATTGAGAATAGCACAACATGTCGAGCACTCGCAGTTATACAATCGTGCAGTCACACCCAGACACATTCGGAGTATTTAAATCACTGAGTTCCGTGTGTAAATCCCATGTGTAAAAAGTAGAGTTTCAAAGTGGCACGTCATCTCTTTCACTGTGAACAACTATTTCAAGCAGGGATTTACAAGTTAAGTATTTCGCAATGCTATTTCATCTTCCTCAAAGAATAGCAAATAGTGTGATATAGCAGCACTAGCCGGTAGCACATGATACCTCACACTGCAAGCACCATCCCATCACTTTCCGACTTGGAACCGCCCCTCTTCACGGAATTCAAACCGCGAGCGTGTATGAAAATCCCACGCAACAGACGGAAGTCGGTACGCCCCGTTTGCAGTCGCCCGGCGCGGCTCACGACAGCCGAGACCCTCTCCCTCCCCGCACGCCACGCCGAGCGCTCCCAGCCCAGACCTCTCGTTCTCTGCTCTCCCCGGACGGCCGACTCACGTCGCTTGGCGGGCCGTGCACGCGCGGCAGGGCGGCGGCCGGACGGGGCCGCCTTGCCCGCCGTCTTGCCGGGCGGCGCCTTGCCCGCGCCCTTGGCGTGGCTCGTGCCAAACAGAGCTTCGAACCGATCCTTGGGGTCCATCCGGCGCGAGCGACCAGCCGGCGGCGGAGCGCCGCGCGCCGGCCGCGGCGGCTCGAACAGGTCGTCGCCCTCGCGCGAGTCGGGCGAGTTGGGCGAGTCGGGCGAGTAGGGCGAGTCAATGTCCATATCCACTACATCGGCCGAGCCGCGCTGTCCGTTCTGCGCCGGCACGGCAGGCGCGGCGGGCGTGGCGGCCGCCGCCACGACGGCCGAGGCGGCGGCGACCACGGCGGCGGCGGCGGCGGCGGCAGCCGGCAGACTGGGTGGCGGTCGAGACGTGTCTGGCAGGAGGCCGGTCAGCGCGGTGGCGACGGCCGACGGCGGCGACAGGCCCGCGAAGAGGCTAGGAGGCTGCCCAACACAACGAAACGATATGATCACGGCTGTCAGGGCAGTGCATCATAGGAGCAGCACACCAGTGAAACTACAACAGGTACAGCACGTGGATGCCTACAGCTGCACATAGTGTAGCGCACGTAGACTTCGAGATTTAAGTAAGAATTACATGCAGTCAATTCACGGCTTGCCGTTACGCAGCAAGAACAAACGGTCTTCCGATAGGACCTCCAAGGCTCCATTCCGACCAGCTAACTAATGGGGATGCTTGTTCACCGGTAAACTCGTTTTGCAGCCAAACATCTCACAGAAACGTCCTGCCTGAGTCACCTGCTAAACTGCACGTCACGCCCAAACATCACACGAGCTCGTTCCGACCGTTGCCAGCCAGCGTCTGTCCAAAACCGTACCAGTGGCCGGCGGACACTCACCGCGGCGGCGGTGGCGGCGGCTGCGGGCGCGCGCTGCTCGGCATCCGCCGAGTGGCGCGGCTCCGGCGGCTTTTCCGTCGGCCTGTCGCGCTGCTCGGCGGGTAGCGGCGGCGGCGGTGGCGGCGGCGTGGGTGTCGGGTCGGCCGCGGCCGGCGCCGGCGGCAGCGGCTCGGGCGCCGGCGGCGGCGGCTCGCCCAGCCGCGGCGCCGGCTCCGGGCTGGCCGCATCCGGCGACGGCGGCGAGTCGGGCGTCACCGATCCCGAGTGGGTGGGCTCGAACGGGTCGTACTGGTCGCCGAACTTGGCCTCGGACGCATCCGAGGGTGGCGGCTCGGGCGGCGTGCTGGGACCGCGAGGCGCCGCCGCCGCTGGTTGAGCGGCTACGCGCGACCCCGCCGGCGGCACGGCCGCACGTGACCCCACCGGTGGCGCGGCCGCGCGCGACACCGCCGGTGGCGCGGCCGCGCGCGACACCGCCGGCGGTGCGGCCGCGCGCGACGCCGCCTGCGTCACAGTCGCGGCGGGCGCCGCTGCCACCGGCGGTGCCGGTGGCTCCGGCTCCGGCTCGTCGTCCGCCTCGCCGAGCGGGTTGGTAATGAGCCGCACTGCCGCCGATTTCGCGCTGAGCGAGAACTTGACGGTCGGCTCCGGGGCCACCGGCTCCGGTGGCGTCTTCGGTCCCCGCGGACTCCGCGGCGCCGCTCGCGAGGGGGGCGCGGCCCGCGGCGCCGGCACGGCCGGCTCGGTGGTAGACGCGACCACACGCACGGCCGGCTCCGTCTCCGTCTCCGTCTCCGAGTCCGTGATGATGATCGGCTCGGCCTTGGGTGGAGACAGCTCGACGACGTCGTCCAGGTCAATGACGTCGGGGCTGCGCTGCGGCCGGCGCCGCGCGGTGCTGTCCGAGCGCCGGCGGCGTGGCGCCGGCGAGCCGCTCGACGACGAAGACGATGACGACGACTGCGAGCCAGACCAAGAGCTGGAACGACTGCCGGAGCGCGAGCGGCGTGCGTACTTGCGCGGCGGCGACGCCGACCGGCTGGGGCTCCGCGGGCGCGCCGCAGGGCTCCTAGCGCGCGGACTCGGGCTCCTGCGTTCGCGAGGCGGCGTGACACTGCGCGCTCTCTTACTGGAGCGCGGCGGCGGCTGCGGCGGCGACGGAGACGCCCTCCTGCCACTGTCCGCCCTGCTCTTGTATTCGCCGCGCGCCGTCTGCTTGGGGTCCTTGTTCTCTTTGCGCGCGTCCCTACGCAGCCGGTCGGTGTCTGGGTCCGGCTCGCGCTCGGTCGGCCTGGCGCGCGCCGACTTCGGGCGCTCCTTTTCGCGCGGCTCCCAGCGTGGCAGGTCGCGGTCGCGGTCGCGGTCCCTGATCGGCGACCTCTTGTCCCTGATCGGCGACCGCCTGTCCCTATTCGGCGACCGCCTGTCCCTGATTGGCGACCGTCTGTCCCGGATCGGTGACCGTCTGTCCCTGGACGGAGTGGGTCGTTCTCGGATAGAGCTAAAGTCCGGCGACGGTTCGCGCCCCTCGTGGCGGACCACGCGGCTCTTGGTACCCATGCGGTCTCTATCCTTTGAGAAGTTCACGCTGACGACCAAATTATCGCCATCCGCGATCACAGCCTTAGAAACCGGGGACCTAGCGCGCTTCTTTTTCTTTTTCTTCTCCTCCTTGCTCTGCTTCTTTAGCTTGTCTTTCTTCTTCTTCATCTTCTTCGGCGCCAGCGACGGCGACACACTCCGCTTCCTCTTTTTCTCTTTGACCTTCTTCACAGGCGAGGTGGTGTGTTTCTGAAGCGGCGATCTCAGCGGGGAATGCCGCGAAGGCGAGGGGCGCGAAGCCGAGTGGCGCGCCGGCGAATGGCGCGCCGGCGAGTGGCGCGAGCGTTCGCGGCGCGGCGGCGAGCGCTTCTCGCGCGAGTGGCGCCTGTGCTCGCGCTGGCGGCGGCTGGGAGAGCGCGGCGCGCTGGCCGAGCGGCGCCGCCGCTGACCGCGGGACGAGTCCCGGCGCCGCACCGCCGCCGGCGAGCGCGATCCAGTCGAGCTGGACGAGCGCGAGCGCGAGCGGCGCGAATGCACCGAACGTTCCTGGTTCTCCTGGGCGCGCATCTTCCGCTCGTTGATCACCTTGCGCACGTCGTAGCGCTGGATATCGCGCTTCTTGCCCTTACGGCCGTCGGCGGGCGGTGAACGCTTGCGCTCCGGCCTCGGCTCACCCACCTCTTTGCTGCGTGCGATGGCGCGGTCGGTCGGCTTGCCATCACGGTAGTTGCGGTCGCGCGCGCTACGCGAGAATTTCTTCCAGCCGACCTCTTCGCCGTCGTCCGGCCCAAGCCCGGTGATGGTCTTCTCGCTGACGACAAAGTCGCGTATGTCCTCGTCCACGTCAGGCGCGTCGTCAGCGGCGATGGGCAGCTGTAAGCTGCCGGAGGCAGACGTTTCCCGCAGCGACGGCACCGGCTCGTCGCTCGGCGAGCGGCACGGCGCCTGCTCGGGCCGCGGCGAGCCGTGCGGCGCCACCGGCTCGGCCACTTCCAGCGCCCGATCGTCCGCCGACGGCGGCCGTTCGTCCGTCGACGGTGGCCGCTCCTCCACGATCTCGCCCTCCTCGTAATCGCCGTCGGGCGGCGCCTCATTGGACGGCGAGAGTGGCGGCGTCAGCGGTGGTGGCGGCGGCGTGGCGGCCACCGGCTCCTCCGCAGCCACCGCTGGCCGTTCGGCCGGCTCCGGCGGCGGCTCGGACGGGATCTCACCCTCCTCGAAGTCACCCTCCGGCTGGTCCAGCTCGTCGTCGGCGTCCATCCAATCGGTGGGTCGCGCCGGGGCGGGAGGCGGCGGCGCTGGAGGCGGCGGAGGCGGCGGCGACGGGGTGGGCGGCCGCTCGGACGGGAGCTCGCCCTCCTCCATGCCATCGTCGAAGCCATCCTCCTCGTTGTCCGAGATCTGCTCTGTGTCAAGGCTGAGCAGCGGCTTCGCCACCGGCGCGTCGGCGGTCGAGGGCGCCGGGGCGGCCGCAGACGCCTCTTCGCGCACGGACTGAAACTCCTCCTGCTCCGGCGGCGGCGGTAGGGGTGACGGCGGCGGCGGTGGCGACGGTAGCTCGACCTCCTCCGCCTCCTCCTGGTCGGGCCCGAAGCTCTCCGGCGACGAGATGCTCTCAACGGGCAGCGGGCGCCAGCTCTCCGCGCCGGCCGCCGGCCCGTTGACGGCGGGGGCCGGGCTGGGCACCAGCTCGGGCGACACCGGTCGGCCGGCCTCGTCGATCACCAGGTCCTCGTCGCTGGAGACGTCGCTGGCGTCCTGCACGCCTGGCGGACCGTGAGCCACTCCCAGCGGCGGCTCAGTGCTTGGCTCGCGCGCCGGCGACGGGGAGGCCGACGGCGAGCCGGCCGCCGAGGTGACCGGTGAGTAAGTCGGGGAGGCGCCCTCCGACGCCCTGTCCTCCGGCATCTCGATATCGCCATACAGGTCCACGTCCTCCTCCTGGCTGGGGCGCTGGGTCGGGCCAGCGTCGCCTTCGAGGCTGGCGCGGCCGGGCGGGTAGGGGTCACCTATGTCGTCCTGCTCCTGACCAGGGCTCTGAGGCGGGCCAGCGTCGCCCGTGTCACCCTCGCTCGGAGCGGCGTCCATCGGGCTGGAGGCGCGCCGCCCGCCCCTGGCGTCCCGACCGGCATCTCTCCGCTCCGGGTCACCAGATCCGCCCACCCACTCGGCATCACCGCCTCCGAAGGTGCGCTCTGAGTCTAAGTCCCCGCTTATCCGTTCTAGGCCCACTCCGACATCTAGCTGCTCTAGAGAAATGTCTTTGTCTGCGCTCTCAGAATCGATGCATTCATCGATCTGTACAGAATCCACGCCTGCGGCAACCAGCCCAGTGCCAGCAGCGGCAGCTATTCGCTCGGAGTCGACATCCTCGTCTATCGATTCTGAATCAATGTCTTCGCCTACCTGCTCTTTCGCTTCGTTTATATGTTCATCACCGATGTCTTTTTCTGTCCTCTGAGAATCAACATCTCTGACCATCCGCCAAGGGTCGGCGCTTATGTCTGCCAACTCCGAATACATGTCTTCGTCTATCCGTTCAGGCTTTACAACCTCACCTACCCGCGCAGGATCAGCCACAGCATCGACATGTTCTGGATCGTCAACATCGTCCTTCCGTTCTTGACTGGCATCTTCTAGTTCCCCATGACTGACATTAGAAACCGTCGGTCCCTGGGCGGCGTCCGGACTGGCAGGCTCGCGGTCGGCATAAAGGTCCGCCTCATCGCCATCAACACCTTGGTCTGCCGAAACGGGGTCGACACTGTCCTCCGTCCGATCCAGGTCGACGTCCTCTTCTACGGGTTCGGCGTCGCCTTCGACAGCCGATTTTGGATCGAGGGTAGAGTCCGCGCGCTCGGGACCGAGTCCCTCGTCCTGCTCAGAGCCGGACTCCTCGTCCGTCGGGTCGTCGTCGACCGCCTCGTCCGTGCGCTCGCGGTCGCGGTCGTCCTCTATCACAGGTTTGAGCGTCGTCGGCGGGCCGCCCTCGCCGCCGCCCATGGGGGCGGGCGGCTGGCCGCCGGCCGCGCCGCCGCCAGCTCCGTTGGCGGCCGTCTGCGGGCGGGCCGCGAGGTCGCCGGCCGGCCGCTGGTCGTACGCGTCGGCTGGGGACGTGCCAGGCTGCTGCGGCGTCAGCCGCTCTCCGCCGGGGCCACCGCCGACCGGCTGCACGCCGGCGGCGCACGCTAGCGGCACCGTGCGGGGGTTGCGCGCGCGCCGTAATCGTGAGTAGGAGGCGGGCGGCGGCCGGCCGATGGCGCGCTGTTTCAGGCGCGCCAGGGCGGCGGCGCGGCTGGAGCGCGCCCGGCACCGCGTGGCGCCCCCGCCGCCGGCCGCGCCCTCCCAGTCGCTGTCATCGCTGGCCGGTCCCGGCTCGGCTGACTCCGTGACAGACATCGGCACCTGCGGGGACCCCGCCGCTCAATGCACGGATTACGGCAGGCAGTCGCGCTCGCCATCTTGGTAGAAACAATGCCACACACGACCATGTTCGTAGATACTGTACAACACAGATAACCCAGGCATGCACAAACACACGGGGGACCGACGACTTCGAGCAATCAAGCGAAAAACAATCATAAATAGGTCAATAACACGATGTTCGCAAATTCTTCAATTCACGACTGCACCTCATGGAATCACCCATTAAATACCGACACAAGACACCGCACGCCTCTGCCGGCGCCGGGACGCCAGACGGCACACCCTGCATCGGCCGTACCATCAGGGCGGCGTCGGCAGGCGACGGGCGGCGGACGGCGGCGCAAGCCGGCGCCTCGGCGTCGGCCGCCTGTCTCTGGCGGACGGGCACGGTGCCGATCACTGCACCGCCGACCGAGCGGCGCACCAGCAGCGCCGAGAACGCCCGCCGGTCCACCGGGCACAGCGTCACCACCTGCGGCCGGGGTCAGGTCAGTACATCCGGCTCAGAAAGCCAGGTCAGGTCAGCGGCCGGCACATGGCGGCTGGCCGGGTGAACGCCGGGGACAGGGCGGCGTGGAATGCCGCAGGGCGGAACAAGTCATGGCAACAACTAGGATATGGCAACAGGCTATGTCAATCACCTATGCCAGAGAAAATGGCTTACCAGCAGCACCGACCTACCTTGGACCACTGCAGGATGTGATGTAGGCAGAACACGTGCTGGCAGACGTCCGGGGACGCCACCTCGCGGCCGCGAAGGCTGTGCAGGCAGATGGGACAGACATCCGGCACACGACCAGTGCCGCCGACTGCCACTGCTTCCACTCCTGAGGAATCCAAACAGGCAACACATCAACAGTTATGTGATATCTATATGACAATAACCATACCAAACCATCACATTGATCACATGGTATGTTATAAACAAATAATTACTGTTTGCAGCATTGGAATTGTCAGTGAATGTTCAAAGAATGGGTCAACCACACAATCTCTTGCCTAGTTTATGCCCTGGTGCAGATGATGTGCATGAGAGAGGCCCATTGATACCTTTGGAAAGAACGTGTTAATATCAAGGGTTCAATGCTTGGACATCTTGTCACCCTAAAACCCTCTAAGATCCTTGGTGCTTACAGGACACCTTCATGTGAAATTAAGCATCTCATATTCTCATTTCACAGTTTCTTGGGGTCTGTGGCTCAAAAGTTCTGGCTTTCTGATTACTACTGACAATTGTTTAGCTTGGAAAGGTTTGTGCTATTTACACATCCATCCTACACATCACCGACAGCAAAATATGGTACCCATCATGTCTGTCCTTACCCAACCCTGCTCTCTATGTCAAATGTGGCCTGATCTCATAAGGAGTGATTTGATCTCTTCTATGAATCCTCACCTTACTCAAGGCTGGACAACACAGGCACACAGATACATGGTTTAAAGGCAGCACAAGGGTCCATTTCAATGGCTGCCAGGTAAAAGCAAATGTGGTTGAAGGAGATGACCTTGCACCCTATGGCCATGAGACAAGAAACCTACCACTGCAGTTTATAATCCCAAGCCTTCCCATAAAGAGCCATGACTGCCAAAAATATGGTGAGTCAGGATAAGTGCAGCATGTTCATTGAACATGTCTCTTGAATGAGGATATCAAAAGAGCTTCTTGCTTACAACTCATGTGTTTAACTAAGGCCTATACAATTACTTGTTGATGCTGATCCATAGCTATGATTCAAATCCCATTTATCAGACCCATGCAAAAATGGAATTTTAAGGTTCTGTGAAAACTGCTACCCATACAATGCTCACACTTATGCTGACTGGCAGAGTACTGACCTTCTGCTGGTTGAGCATCTGAATCATCATCTGAGGTACACTCAGATGGTGTCTGATGATTGTGGCAATATCCACTGCCCTCAGATGCTTTGTCATCATCCATGCTTCTGAAAAAAATGATACAACAAATAAGTTAAATCTGAAGACAGCTCACTTATCAGTCAGAGGTTCATGAACAGCAGCCAGCAAGTATCCCTTTGATCCCATGCCATTGCAATTACAGGCACAACCAATTTGCTAGCTCACATTGAACCAATACTGATGTGGCCTCAAATAAAGCACAATGCAAGCACAAGCCATTCCAGATGTGTGTTGCCTTTCAACTCTGATTTGATAATATGGCCAGCCTACAACATCTAAGGTACAATGTAGGCACAAAAATGTCATAGTGATGAACACCAATGCAGTAACTGCACCACCAAGAATATTTGCTACACATGATGAACACATTTATTTATACAAAGCGAAACATTTCAGCAACTGTGATATAACTTGGCAGCATTGGTTTCAAGATGTTTCAGGACATTTCACACTTACATGACTTGGGAGAAGCCAGACAAATGTCAATATTAAGCAATGTCACAAGTTATCAAAAAGACATATGCCAGCTGGAGAATGTCACTAACCCATTGAATCCTATATTTTGTGGTGTCAAATACCAGCATGCTTTTTAAAAATGTCATACAACACACATTCTAGTACCAACAGTTAACAATCCCAATAGTTGTACATATTTAAATTGTTGTACAATTGTTGTACAATTTTAATTGTTGTACATATTTTTGGTACAGCCCAAAGATGCCTAGGTGAAGGAAAAGTCATGCCATGCAATGGTCAGCAATACCATTTAACAGCATAACACAGCTGGCAAAATAATGTTAGGTCCAGTATGACTCAATTTAACTCTTTCCATACCCCATTTTCAAATGAGATGAGAACCAATGTCAATGACATGACAAATGACATAAGAGCCAATGACTTCTGAGACAGCCAACAAAGAAATTCATATAACTTCATGACATCATCAGATTAGCTTTACTTATAACTTTGATAGTATTTTTTACAAGATGGTACAAAGCAGTCAATTTATAGTGTGGCAACAATAAAGAATATGCAAAATACTTGAATAAGCATCCTAAAGAGCTATGTACTACAAATCTATCTTAACAGTATTTTGTAAGATTCTTCAAATGTAACCATACAGTAGCATTTTAAATCTAATCAACATCCAATTTTATCATGACACCTATTCTTGTACACATCTGTTCTCACAAAACCATTCATATTCAAGCTAAGTCTTTTCATCATTAAAGGCCTTGCTACCAATCTACTAATTCACCTTTTTTCACATCACTTATTGGTGCTGGGGGTAACACAGGTGACTTCTTAAATGACAGGCACACATCAGTGCCCTAATGTCCTATTCATTGAATGACCAATCCCTTAGATGACAGCTCTTTTAGCAGCTGATGCATCTTCTGGGTACTTCTCACAGCTTACTGTTCATGTTATTTGTGATGATTTTGACTTAAAGGCATGCCAACTATGTTGGTCATGTGGCACCCAGTGTCTATGTTATTCAGTGCCACCACATTGGACACCAGATAACCAGGGGGTCTGTATTTTCATCTTCAGTTAGGGGAGGCTTCAGCCCCCTAACTTAGTATCCAGCCCCCCCCCCCCCCCCCAACTTTGCAAAGAACATGAACCAAATCTGGTGAGAAATCCATTTGCTGGCATATTTTGATGGTACTTTGGGTCATTTCACTGCTCAGCCCTTCCCCTCCCCAAATTCATTTTGTGAAACTACATCTCTGCAGAGAACTGTGTAGATATATATATACAGGGCATCCATGAATAAATCTAGCATGTAGACATGTGGGTGACAGGCAGCAATTGCTGGTATCAGTAAGATATTATTGCAATACAGATTGGATCAAAAATTACAATTACTGCACTTTCAAAACTTTGATGGCTGGAATTTCCAAAGTAAAGCAGCTCAAGTTACCTTCTGTCCACCATGCCATCAATGAACATAAATTATCTAAATTTGATGAGAAGACACGTCATGGAGGGCAGGTTCGGTCAGCAAAAGGTACCCAAAATACGCAGCTGCCTGTCTCATAAGGGGTGGGATTCAGGCTGTTCCAAACATCTTGTCTCATCCCTGCTATTGCTTGCAGACTGTGGGTGATACAAGGAACTTGGGAATGCCATTGCCTTTTGACATGTTAGTCTTGGTGCTTACACATACATACAACCCATGCAAATATGTAAAATTTAAAACTTTTTGAAAGATAGTAATGACTCACAATTGCATGACCTCTTGAAACATGAATATTTATATAACACATCTTTAAAGCCCACAACAGTAGTGATACCACCTTTAAAAACAACAAAGTTATAAACATTGAGTCTTGAAGATTTAGCTGACAAAGTGCAATGCATCCTTGCATATGCTACAACCCAGGTGGGCACTAGTAGCACCCTGTTGTACATCTATGTTCTATGAAATATATTATGCAAGCCATTGCATTTTGCCATGAAATTATTCTGACTTCACATTGTCAACAGCATTTTAAACATTGGTAGGATAACATCAGGATAAAGCAGCAGCAAAAGGTGGTACTTATCAATTGATCACACAAAACCTGAAGCATATATCTGATCCACATAGTCTAAAAACAAACACAATTAATTTCAAGCACTTTCTTATCATCTAAACCCAAAGGCTACACATGCCACATTTGCCTCAACCATCTCATAGTTGTCTTTATAGCTACCATGTTGTGCTGATCATGTTGTGGCTGCTTGTATGACCACTCATGTAGCTAAAAAGAATCAATAATATTGAAGTAGTGGCAGCTAAAACATGATTTTTTATTAGTCACATTGAAAAATGTTTTATGGTTCTTGTAATACAACAAAATGGGCAACATTAAAGTGCAACATGAAATATGAGTCTACACCATCATTAAATCCTTAGCCTATGTCAAGTAGAGACAAAGCTTTTGTTTAGTATACATCTAACTTAATTTGTGCACAAACCTAACCTTGTATTTCAACCTCATAGTTTAGATATCCATGGGCTGCATACAAGGCCCCTGATGTTTTATCTGAAGGCCTGCATCACTGACTGCAAGGGTGCAGATGCTGAGTGACTAAGGGGGCAGCCACCCCATTAGACTAAATCCAAAGAAAATAATGCTATGTCAAATCCAATACAGGCATTCCACTAGCATGCCATGCCAGGCTCACCATGTAACCTTAACTATTTACTGTCAATTTACCTCTGTAGAGACCTTTCAGTTAAACTGAGGCTCTATCACCATGTAATCTAATACCCAACATAGTTGCAACTCAGTTTGAATTGTATATGTCTATTGTTCATGATGTGCACCCACAATTTTTTGCAATGCTAGGGGAGAGACATTGCATCATGAACAGAATTGTATAACCATCCAAAGTATATTTCTTTGGAACTATAAAACCATCAAGTGTGTTTTCTTTACAGTTGGGTTTAAAGGTACTCATGTAACACACAACTATCATTGTACTTGCAATTTCCCCTTAAAACAATGTCATATTTCTCATCATGCGCATAACATGCATCTGCGCACACTCACTTTTCACTTCTGGGGCATCAGTAGACGTTTACAGACATTTATGGCGCATCATATACCTTATTTATCCACTAGCGAAGATTCTTCAGATAAGACGTTGACATCTTGAGCGCATCGTACGAAAATAGTTCATACCTAAAATGCCGCATACAACAAAACATACAACAAACGGTACTTAAGCGTAGACGCCCAGGCCGCTTCCACCGACATGCAAACTCCGGTTTTGGTAATCGGTGTGGTGGTGGATGTAGTGCTGTGAGGCAGTGTTTCATTTCTATCGATAAAGACCTTGCATCAAAAACACATATTTTAAAAAATCATAAATATTCTTGAAATATTTAGAAGGATTCGTTACATTTTCATTAATTGAAAAATAAAATGATGCAAGTTAAGAGGATTAAAGCCAGATTTATGATAACGATTAGGGTGACATCTAGCGATCATTTTATTTACTTGACATCTGGGTTTCACTCGTCGCACGGCTTGCACGAAATTGGACTATTACGCATGACGCCACACAGGGTGTAGTTTCCTATTCAGTTGAAGGGGGGCTTCGGCCGCCCCCTCCCCCCTTCCAACTTGGGTTTTAGCCCTCCCAACATTGAGAAGTGTGCATAATGCGGGGAAAAACCTGTTCGTTGGCATACTTTGGAGTGCGGGCTTGGTTATTTTTCAATGTTCAGTCCCATCCCACAACTCACTTGGAAAAAACAGTCTTGGAAAAAAACGTCACAGTTCATTGGCGTCTTCTCCTGGTGTGCCTGAGCCTAGGGATGCGGACAAAAGAACGTGTTTAAAAAGTTTGCGTGGCAGTTGTTCGTAGTATAATTCGTATGCGTGACGTTCACTGAC